GGTGTTATAGCGCAGCAGACCAAATATGTCAATTAGTGAGGCATCCAGCATGTTTAAGGTATTTTACACGTAAATCCGAAAAACAAGATGCGGGACTTTTAGTACGAGAACAGATTTCGAATAAAGGACCCCATAGGCGCTTAAATAAACAAATTTACTCAGAAGTGCACAGAATCTGCATAGGGCTTCCTGGAACAAATCAAAAATGACGGTATCACGAGATTTGCTCGTACTAGTGATGTTCACTGAAAGGACTACCCACTACTATGGTGAATTATATATGCACACACACACACACACACACACACACACACACACACACATGTTGCATAACCCTTAGTAAACAAAGAATAAATTATGATTCCTAGGCCGCACGTTTTGGTACCACAGCATTTCCCCTGTGGCTGTATGTTGACCTTGACGGCTAATTATGATAACGGGCATGTTCTAAAGACTGTTAGTATATTTTTGGGGTTTCTGTACAGACTTATCAAAGGTGGCTGCATAGTTCAAGGGATTGGTCAATTTAAGAGGGAGTCTTCCAAAAGCATCATGTACACGCGATTTCTGCTTCAGCGTTTTCCTTGTCATTCCTGTGTAAAGAACTACCTCTCTTCATGTGTGACTGTGCATATCATATCCATCTTCCATGTGATAGGTAAGATAAACAAGATCGACCTGATCTCTGCTAAAGTGATGGAGTAGTGAACAAACAGTCGCCGCTATCAGTCCCAATGATGGTGTCATATGGGCTGCTCTCAGTTGGCTGCCGTGCTAAAGAGCAATATTTCCCTGGCTTGGTTCCGAGCAAGGTTGCTGCCAAGAGAATCCTACCCAACATCGTAGTAATTTGCCTTCATCAGATGTTCGCAATCTGTCAAAGGAAAATGAACGGGAAGTAGCCCTTGTTTTCCAAATTCGCTCGTATTCGTTCCATGCTGTAATATTTGGCTTTGACACTGGCTTCGCTATCCTTAGCGAATCCTGCGCTGGAGCTGGGCTACCGCTTCACTGACGAGGCGAGGGATAGCGAGCGTATGCTTCACAGAGTTTCGAGGCCCGGCATGGTTGCAGGTGTATATCCTGTTTCGTCTGGCGAAGATGTCTAGATCAATTAACATCTTGCTCTTCATCCGCATCCCCCTGAGCTTGAGTGGACATCCACTCCTCCATTAGAGCCTGGCGCGTAGGCTCCGAAGACCCCGTGCTTACTCTAACTTTATCCCCTTTGCGAGTAACGAGTAGGCATAACATCCATCCGTAGATGTTGAACCCCTCATAGTTCGTCCTGAAACGCAACTTCTTATCATCTGGTTCCTCATCCTTTCGACGTTTCGAGGTGCATGGATTGACTGTGGTGTCAACTGCTCCATCTGCATCTCGTTGGCGTTTACCCTTCTTATCGCTCTCGTCTGCAGTGGCTTGAGGGATATCGCGTAGATCGACATTAGATTCGCTATCGCTCTCGACCAAGATTCCAGCATCGGCAGTCCCGCTTGAACCTTTCGTACGTCGGGGTGGATTTCCTGCTCCTTCTTTTCTGCTCGATGTGTTATCGGGGTCGCCGAACTCCTTGTGTCGCGTGAGGAGTGAGTGACGTGTTCGGGATTCGCGGAGGAATAACGAAACCTCAAAGTCGTCTACATCAATTGCATGGTTAGCCAACGGTATACTCTCCGGATTCAGCGGTGGCTTTAGCATAGGGATAGATACCTTCAGCTATCACGTCTTTCACTGGTTTCCCCTTCTTCCGAGCAAAGAGCCTTTCGTTCTCCTCGCGTAGTTTAGGTAGAACTAGCGGGCGAATGGCAGCGAATATCCGGGGAAGGATGGGCTCCCTGCTGTCGAGGAGCCATCGCGTGTCCGATGGGTTTTCTAGGTAGATCCGGCATTCGAGGATAGTATACTTGCTGATTCTGAGGTATCGGCGAATAGGAGCCATACTAAGATGCGAGTATTTTCAGAACCGCACGCGTTGGAGCTCACAGCTGAAATTGCGAGCATGAACAAAGGACCTAAAGGGGTTGACAACCTATTTGAGTACAACTTCAAACGAACTTAGAATAAAATAACGACGGTTTGACTGGGATGACATAACAGTTAACCTCCACATGATCGGAAGGTTTCTGCCAAGCTTCTTGAACTGGTCATGAATCTGATAAATATTTACTCGTACCCAGTATGTGCTGGGTAGTATTCCGATTATGTTACTGTATCTAGATCTATTCGAGGTATTTGCATACTGCATTTACAATCTCTAGTATACCTAGCCGCTCAAGAGAAGTCGTTGTTGCTACCTACTAGGCACTCGCGAATGTCAACTTTGGGGGTTCTGAATCATTAGGAAAGCCATATCCGGGGTTATGCTCTGCAAAACCAGTGGTAAACATTTTAGTTAGAACAGGAGTAAGTGGCCTCGTAGGTAGAAATCCTTGGCTGACAGTTCTACCATATTGGTTAAAAAAAGAATCATCATCAAGGGAAAGCAATCTGCGTACTCCGTACTCGGCGACTAATCATTTAATGATCATCATTAGTTCGTCCATTATGTAAGTCGGCTGCCTTTTCCAACCCCTCCAGAGCCCTTTCTACACCGCTTTCTTATTCAAGAACCCTACCCCCACGTTCATTTCTTGTATACATCACCTTTGGAGTACTGTGTATATACTCGTCGATCATGAACCTGGAGTGTTGACAAGAGTATGATGGGTATTTAACCTTTGAATGAAGGCTTGTGTTCGACCATTTACATGGAGTAACATGGCAAAGCCCATACTGTACTGTTGCATCCATAAGAACTGGAACCAAGATATGGCGAACCAAAGAAACATCAGTAGTAGTTAGATTAATATACTCATATCACGTGATAACAAAGCCCCACAATCAGAGCAATAGATCACCAATAAGATATGAAGAAAAAGGAGGGTCAGCATGTCCCCAAGGTCCTCAAGAAGTCCGAAAATGTCTTCTCTGGAACAGATCCGCTTGCCTCCAAGGTCCTCGTCCACTGTAACCGCACGTCGACACAAGTGGGACATCGAAATCTCAGCGCCCTTCCACCATGGAGACTTCCTCTGACATTCATCTTCCTCCTCCTAGGTCTACAGTACCTTCTAGGACCACCCTCACATCGGTTCCCGGGGAATAACGAACGAGTCATCGTTACGTCGAGATACGCATCCTTCATCATACAGTGCGAGAGGTGACATACACTCTGAGTCGTGCTAGGCATACATAAATCCCCACGCTACACTCCAAGGTCCTCACCTCGAGATCTGATCCCTGCCACCGCCACGTTTGGTTGGATACAGAAGACACTAAACATACGCCAAAAGTGGAGTGCAAGGACCTTGAGGACATTCAATCACAACAGTCGACACCTCGTTGCACAACAGGATTTGATATAAGGGGAGCGGGGCAGGAAAACCCATAAATTGGTCCGATATACCAAGAATACCAAGCACCGGCATCCTGCAGTCCAAGAAAACCTTCCACCCCTTGCGAGTGTTGCCGTTCGTTTCCCACGTGGTTTCTATCTTTGCAAATTCCTTATTACCTCAACTTTGAGTTCTATTGGGCTGTCGTGCCTGCCAGAGAATTTCTTTGCGAACTATTGCTCTTGGCCCGTGCCGTCGTGCATCGGTTTTTGGAAAGTCATCTGTCAATCTCTCCAATTTACCCAATCCTCTAGGGAAGCGGGACCAATATGGATGTTCTACACACCCTTCTCACCCGGGATGAAGATTCCGGGCCCGCCCCTGCCTGTGATGCAGGCAACGAATACGACGGTCGCATGGGTTTGCGCATCTCCTCCATCTTTGTCATCATGGTCGGTTCGATGTTCGGTGCTGTCTTCCCGGTCTTTGCAGGACAGTTTCGACGTACGAAATATTTAGAGTGGGCTTTCTTCGTTGCCAAGTACTTCGGCTCCGGTGTCATCATTGCTACGGCTTTCATTCATCTGTTAGCTCCTGCCGAGGAAGCCTTAACCAATGAATGCCTGACTGGCCCGATCACGGAGTATTCCTGGGTCGAGGGTATTATCCTAATGACCATCGTGGTGCTTTTTTTTGTCGAGATGATGGTCATGCGGTATGCTCGATTTGGCCAAAGCCATGCACATGAATTGGCCCATGAACATGGCCATGTAGAGCCCAAGGCTACTGGCTCTGAGAGCGGTTCTGAGGTCTTGGACAGCAAGCATATTCCCGGCCGGGATCATCTGGGTCACTCCCGCGAACATCATGATGTTGAGAAGACTTCCCACGATACGTCCCTCGAAGAGTATATGGCGCAGCTGACTGGCGTTTTCATTCTGGAATTTGGTATCATCTTCCATTCTGTCTTTATCGGCTTGACCTTGGCAGTATCTGGTGCTGAATTTGTTACGCTCTACATTGTCCTTGTCTTCCATCAGACTTTCGAAGGTCTTGGTCTGGGGTCCCGACTGGCTACAATCCCCTGGCCTCGTTCGAAACGTTTTACCCCATATCTTTTGGGTATTATTTTCGGTCTGTCGACGCCAATCGCGATCGCGATCGGATTGGGTGTTCGCAAGTCGTACCCTCCCGAGGGTCGCACGACTCTCATCGTTAACGGAGTCTTCGATTCAATTTCCGCCGGCATCCTGATTTACACGGCGCTTGTGGAGCTTATGGCGCATGAGTTCATGTTCAGTAGCTCGATGAAAAAGGCGCCTATCCAGCACGTCCTGGCCGCCTTTTTCCTCCTATGCTTGGGTGCTTTGCTGATGGCGCTTCTTGGAAAATGGGCTTGATTTTATGACTGTCTTTCTTATATTTTGTCTTGTTATGTTGCTGTGTTGCTGTGCTCAATATACCCCCCATCGGCAGGTTGTTTGATTTATTGCTAGATTGCATTATTGCATTATTGCTCATACTGTGTATTTCAAGAAGAATAAAACTTTGCTCATATATACAAACATTAAATAACTGTGGCGTTCATAAAATCTCCAAAGACTACTTGACCCTGACAGATTAGTAAATAACGACCATCCCGTTGGTTTTAGTTAACATGCGGGAGTATATGCCTTAGGTAACCTAAAAAGACAGGCCCCCAAGCACGGAGTTACGCCAATTCACATACATCTAATCTCCGCATGAAGAACCCAACCAACCACGTTTCCTCACCTTTCCTAGACCCTCCTTAAGCAACCCCCAAACATCAACCCCCAATTCAATTAACCCCATCACGCCAAAACAAGTTCTCAATCGCCAAACCCCTCCAAGTTTCAAAATGCGTTTCTCAGTTTTCTCCACCCTCCTCGTCTCCCTCGCCTCCCTCTCCACCGCCGCCGAACTCGGCATCGAAAAGACCCACGAGGTAGAATGCACCCGCAAAACCGTCAAGGGCGACACCGTCCAGATGCACTACAAAGGCACGCTCCAGTCCGATGGCTCCGAGTTCGACTCTAGCTACAAGCGCAACTCGCCGTTGAAGTTCAAGGTGGGCTCGGGTATGGTTATTAAGGGGTGAGATTTCTCGTTTGGGCTGCTTCTTATTGTGATGTACAGTACCTGGGACTTAGGCTAATGCTTTTGTTTGTTGTAGATGGGACGAGGGTCTTTTGGATATGTGTATTGGTGAGAAGCGTACTTTGACTATTCCCCCTGAGTATGGGTATGGGTCTCGTGGGATTGGGCCAATTCCTGGCGGTGCGACCCTCATTTTTGAGACGGAGTTGGTGGGTATTGATGGTGTTTCGAAGGATGAGCTGTAAATTAAGCCCTGGTTTTAGACTTTTTCTTAAGACTTTTATCTTTGATATGGGTTCTCTTTTTTACCACAGTATCGTTTGGTACTGGTACTGGTACTGGGGAGTCGGGGAACAACGCCTTTGAAATTGATCTGTATATGTATGTATGTAGATATCTGTATCTCCGGGTATCATTGCGAAACCTCTAGTATAATACAATCTGTCGTCACCAAGTCTATAACGATCGAAGAGAAACCAGAGCGGAAAAGAAATATAAATCAGTCCATGGCATCGAGAGCATTCTCGGTCGCTCCGTCGTTCTCAGAAACGAGGATTCCCACAAGACACTCCCCTAGGATGGCATCCCAGTTCACCCATGGATGAATCTCCATGAACAACTTCGCCGAGTCCTTCCCGGCACCACGGAGCAATTCACCCTTCCCACCGGGGTGAAATGGGACATATGGCGTGATGTTATAGACCTTGCCCTGGTACGAAGTCCAGGCATCGCGACCCTTCCGTCCATTCTGTGCCTTGAGCATCGACGGCGTCACCTTGACCAGAGTTGGGGGTAGATTTGCACCCCGCAAGTTGTTCTTGGGGTTTGATGTAAGCGCGGCCCAATCCAGGGGGGAGTAGCCTGGTTCGAGAACCGCCCGCTTCGATGAATTGGAGGGCTGTGCGGTGAGTTTGACGGGTGCCAGGCTATTGCTGGTGGGACGACTGGAGGGCGGTACACGTAGCGATGCCGCTGCAGAGGGTGGCGGACGAAGGGAGCTGCCTGGATTTGGGCGCGGGGGATATCGTCCCGCGGGAGCGGATTGTGATTGTTGGGTTTGGGACATTGTTGGACGGAGTCGAGGTGGCGGCGGGGGAGGCATTAAGGAGGAACTGCTTGCGGTGGGCCGTGGTGGAGGTAAAATGGCGGCATTATTAACTGCGATAGCAACCGGCTCTGAAGGTTTCGCTGATCCATTTTGGATTGGCTTTTGATCGGCCTGGTTCTCGGTAGTGGTGCTTGTCTTGTCAACCTTGTCGCTGTCGAGACGAAGCGTGGGTACTTCGAGGGACGGTGGGCTCGAAGCAGATGCCTTGGGTGTTGACTGGGAGTCTTCTGCATTTCCGTGTTTTTCTTCGAGGGGTTTGGAGTTATCCTTCACTTTCGCATCATCTGTGGCGCGATCGGTAGGTGGCTCTTCAAGGGTTGGTTTCGGCGGGGGTTGAGAGATGGAGGGCTCAGGCGTCCAGCTGGACGGGGGGTGACGGTAAAGTAGGAAACATGCAGTCGCAATGAGTGTAGCCACTCCTAGCCAGCCCATTCTGGGCGGTCCGAAGGTTGTCGATGGTGAAAGCGAGAAAGGTGCCTGAAGATCGGAGAGAACAAGAAATGACGACAGGAACACATTTCCAGACGCTCGGAGGAATCATGCGGCCCGTGCGTCGGACGATCGGAGTCCAAGTATAATTTAAGCTTAACCACCCAGACATTCGTAGATAACCTCGTCGTCTATACATTATGGAAATGATATAGAAGGTATATTGTCTGAAAAGAGTATTCAACACCTAGTACTTATGCCTACGCTGTTGCCCAGTATAACTACATGATCATATAACAGAGTTCCATAGCATGGACTCAGGCTATGGGAACGATGAGCGTATCCAACAGAGTACATAAAAGTTCATTCATTTGCAGTACCTGAGTAATGACAACCCCTGATCCATGCTGCCGGGCTAATCAGACTCTGGTGTTCAAAGGAAGCTAGCTCTACATAACTCTCCTCTACACCTCCCTCTCTTCCCTCTTCTGTATGCTGCCGTACCCAGCAGATATCCTTCTTTGGCATATACCACATGACAAAACACGGTTCCTTGTGTCTCTATAACCCACCGCGTACTTTGCCGAACCGTATACTAGGCCGATATACGAGTCTATTTGGTCTGATATATGATAGAGACATATTTACCTCTATCTGGCCAGCTAGGGCATGCTCTCTATACAATACTAAAGGCAGTATTGCAACCAAAGCGAATGGACCCAACAAAACAAGACCTGAACATTTCAAATACGTCCTCGAAAAAGCTTCATATTAGAGAGACGGCCAAGAAAGTTTCCAGAACAAGAACATCCATACTTCACAGTATATACATTCAATCACATGACCACGCGATAAGAGCGCGTCACACGCCGAACCCCCCACGAAGTCCAAACTATCCCAACACGCCCAAATCATTCCCAAAACACATGGATTCGATACTCGGTGGGTTGAATTCTGCGCAGAGAGCCGCTGTGTCGTCGCCATCACCGATACTCCAGGTTCTCGCCCCACCCGGCTCAGGAAAGACCAAGACTTTAACGGCGCGCGTCGCGTACCTCCTCTCCCATCATGGCTATCGACCGCAAGATGTCATCTGCTGCACGTTCACAATCAAAGCGAGCCGGGAGATGCGGGAGCGTCTGTCAAAGCTGGTTGGGGATCGGGTGCAGTCGAGATTGATTCTGGGGACGTTTCACTCCATCTGTCGACGATATCTGGTGACTTATGGGTACTTAATTGGGCTGCGGAAAGGGTTTGGAATCGCAGATTCCGGGGATAGCTTGGCTATTATCAGGGTATGTTCCCTAGACATTGTGATTGTTTGGGGGTGCGGCTTGCTTACTTGGATGTCTGTTTGCGGTAGAGGATTGTCAAGCGGTTACAGCTCAATATCCAGCCTAATATGGCTCGCGGGCGGATTTCGTATCAGAAGGCTCATGGGGTGACGCCGGGGGATTTGGAAGCGAAACAAGTAAAGGCCTCCAAAGTGCTGGAGCACCGGGAGTTTGTTCAGGTTTACCAAGCGTATGAATCGCATCTGGCGGATTCAAATCTACTCGATTACGATGATCTACTTCTACGCTGCGCCCAGCTGCTTCGACAACATCCGCAGTGCGTTTCAAACGTCCAGTCAGTCCTAGTCGATGAGTTCCAAGACACAAATCATATCCAGTATGAGTTGATGAACCTTTTCGCATCACAGAATAGACGGATTACAGTTGTCGGGGATCCGGATCAGAGTATATACGGGTTTCGATCGGCTGAGATTAAGAACTTGACGCGTATGCAGCAGCTGTATACTGATACGTCGGTTGTGTTGTTAGAGGATAATTATCGGTCGTCGGGGTCCATTTTGAGCTCAGCTCAAGATGTTATCGAACAAGACTCGTCGCGGCCGGCTAAGAGGTTGCAGCCAACCCATAGTGTAGGGACGATGCCGGTACTGCGGAAATTGCCAACAGCGGAGGCCGAGGCTCAGTGGATCGTTCTCGAAATTAAAAGATGCATTGCCATGACGGGGAAGCTGCTGAAGTATTCCGACTTTGCGATACTGCTCAGGTCGGCCGCACTTTCGCGACAGATCGAATCGGAAATGGGAAAACAAGGCATGCCGTACAGGATGGTTGGAGGCTTACGCTTCTTCGATAGAGTAGAGATCAAACTACTTCTGGATTATCTGAGAGTTATTAGCCAGCCGGGAAACGCCGATGCGCTTCTGCGAATTATCAATGTTCCGTCGAGGAAAATCGGGGAAGAATCGATTCGATCGTTAATGAGTGGTGCGGAGAAAGCGAACAAGCCTCTCTGGGACTTCATGAAGGACGTGGCACAAGGTCGCAGGTCGACCGAAAAGACTTTGTCGAAGCCTACCAGTAATGGGCTAGGTAATTTTGTCGGTCTCATTGAGTCGTCGAGACAAAAACTCCTCGAATGCGCCGACTGTTCGGCTCCGAAGAAGCTTCTTGAGTTTGTGATCAAGAAGCTTTCCTTCCGAGAATACCTTACGTCGACGTACGGTACCAACGAGGAGAACAAATGGGCGAACGTGGAAGAGCTTCTGGGCCAAGCGGAAGATACAGCTGCAGCCGGGGACGAGAATGAGCATGACGAAAGCCTCCCGGAAATTCAAGGCCTCTCACAGCAGCAAGCTCATCCGGGAGAAGAGGCACTGTCGCGCTTTCTGGCCAATGTGGCGCTCTCCACTGAGGTTCTTCAGCAAGAGGGAGAGGAGGGTGAGCAATCACAGGAGAGAGTGACGATCTCCACTATCCATGCCGCAAAAGGCCTGGAATGGCCGGTTGTCTTCGTCCCAGCTGTGTATAACGGCATTATCCCTCATTCGCGTGCAGAGGATTCGGACGAAGAGAGACGGCTGCTCTACGTGGCCATGACTAGAGCGCAGGCGCTGTTGTACCTGAGTTACCCCCTTGAGCAATCCCGCAGCGGTGAAACGACGAATGTATCAACATTCCTTCCGGAAAAAATCATAGAATCACGATTTCGTTTATTAGGACCTAATCTGCATGAACACATCGTCTATGGAATTGCTGACATCTTACGGCGGCCGAGACCGACTTCCGAGGCTATGCTCGAGGGTCAGGTTTCACTACCTTCCACACTTGATGACCAGTGGACGGTAGATGGTCGAGAGGCTGCGGATGCTGTGTTTAGATGGGACGGTTCTAGAGCAGTCGAAGGAGAGGAGCCTAGCGCTAAAAGACCACGGTATAGCCGAGAATATTCGATATCAACCACAACCACGTATGTGTCTGCCTCAACATACACAATGAATGGCTCAAACTTTTCCGTACCCACGACCATGTCGCTTGGATTCTCGACAGCACGGGAGTATATCGCGACAAACACACCCACTAGGCAGGAACAAAAGCCGGGACTCGGGTTCGAGGACAAATCAAAAACAGCAGGAACCGGATCATCTGGACGCAGTGTGGTTGGCCTTTCGCAGAAGAGCATATTCGGGTTCTTCAGTAAGCCTTCGTCTCAGCCCAAACCAAAATCTAGCGAATCAGCACCGGCACACTGCCACAAGGCCCCTGGCGATCGAAACAACGTCATTGGACAGACGACAGACGGCAAAAATAAAAGCGTGCTCCCGACGAACTTCTCAACGTATCGACCACAGGCGCAGCGCCTGCAAGCAGCCCGTCCGATTCTCGAACCGTCGGACCCCAACCGTTACACGTGGCTGGCGACATCTTCAAAGCCCACGGAGAAACCGATCTTGCGCAGCGGTGAAGAGGGCAAGGAAATATCCAACAAGGGCGAAGCCGGAAGGGAGTGGGCAGCGAGCGAGGTTAAAAGACCTCAAGGACCGGTTGAAGGTGCCCGACCAGCGACCACGTATCACACGACTACAATGTCGAGGTTGCAGCGCGGGGCACCAGTGCCGACAAGGAGAACACTGGGGATTCGACGAAGTATGAATGGGTGGGAAGAACGGATGAAGAGGGCAGGCAATCAGCGGCCGTGATGATTTGAGCCTAGATGTAGATTGGTTGTTATGGACTGGGAGCCTCTTATCTGGCAATATCACCGATAAGGTGTTTGGGCGTTAAGGTCAACATGATTGAGTGCCTCACTACAGCGTTCGGGCTACGAGTTTCACATATCGTACTTTTTTTGTTAATTTTTCTCCCGTTGATTTTCACTATCATGTATTAATGCCTAGGTTACAGCCTAAACCTTTCAGTATATGAGACTTCTCGATCCAGTGATGAACAATCCATTGGGGTTGACCCATGACTAAGCCGAACAAATCACTCATTATGTAAGGTACAAGGGAGACAATAACTACGGCGCAAGTTACAGCAAGTATCCCGATCAACAACCGTAGCATCCAACTTACGTACGGGGAGATGGATACACTTGGCACCACTCCAGGAATGCCAGTCCAGGGTGTCGTGCCATGGGTATCTAGCAGCACCCCCTCAACACGGAAACCCAGAATGACTCTCGCGATGATCATTACCCACCTCTCCCTCCTCCCCCCCCAAATGAGAGAAACCCCGAGCAAGGCGGAGAGGAAGGCACAGAGAGAGAGAGAGAGAGAGAGAGAGGCAATAATGCAACCAATTCTAGCGGTGAAAGTCATAATAATGGTCAATACGAGCCCCAATAAAGGACGATAACGGTAATAACGAACCGATCAGCTGATTAGGGATCCATTCCCCATCATTTTTCCCATCCCGAAGACCCAATTCAGGCTAGAACTAGAACTAGACTAGGTCCTTATCTTCTTCCATTTCTGGTGGTGCTTACTAGTCGACTAGCTTATAGTAGTTTACGGAGACTGTCATCCTTACACCGCATGATAGGTATGTCATGTAGTTCAATTTTTGCGCAATTATTTTGGGACTAACTGGTAAGGTAGGTTACCGTACACCTATCTATCTATCTGTAAGTACTCCAGGGTAGTACTACTAGTGAGTTAGGGGGCCTTGAAGTGTCTACACAGTTAGTACGTCTTGTTTCTGGTTGAGAGAATAAGGTAGGCTAACCTGAGTTAGGTTAGCTTAGTTGACATGGTATTAGAGTCTAGACTGTTTTAGGACTAGAGTAGCAATAGGTACCCTCCAGTCTCCGTACTTCGTACAGCTGGCACTTACAGTAATCCTACTACTAGGTTGCCGGAGGTAGAGAGGACTGGGGGACCGAATTGGGTTTAGCACCACGTCTCAATTAGACGGAGAGGTCTTTTCTCCAGTTCGTTCTGGACGGAATAAACTACCCCGTGTTTTGTTGGCTGGTGATGAAGTGGCATATGGCGTCTGCAATGGTTGCTTAGTAGCTTGTGAGCGAGCGAGATAAGCCATGCACGTAGGCTTGTGTGTAAGTCTGCATGTACTACGTATGTAGTAGGAAGGACCGGCACCCGACCTGGTGCGCTACCTGAAGCTCGCTGGAAGGGGGAATAAACCAAGTGGATGGATTCCACTTGAGCTCATTTAGTAACTGACTTAGTACGGGATGGAAAAAGGCTGAGGTGTTTAATTCCGCGCAGTACCATGGGTAACACCCATGGTTTGTTTAGTTTGTATCCACAGGTACCGGACGCGCTAAGCCCGGTTGGGATCTACCATATTTAGAGTTACAGCTTACTGGAAGGTACATTCGAAAAGATATCCCGAGGGTGAGCCTTGAGTATGGGGATGGGGATGCTCCAGAATGGTGCGTAAAGTGATGCTTCAAAGTCATTTCTCTAGTTACTTATCCAAGTAATGATGTTATGTGGATAATAATAGGCGTGGTCGTGAGGAATGTCCATATAAATAGCAATCAGGTGATTGACCTGTTACGGAGTTGTACACAACTCTGTAAAATAACCACCCGGAGGTCTACAGGCCAATAGGAAACGGGGTTTTCGGTTCCAGGACGTAAAATACAGACAACGCATCATTCATTTTGGACACATGGACCTGCGTTGGTGAAACTGAGGTAGATATGACGACGGATCCTCCCTTCTTCTAGGCACCTCATTGGGATCTTCCAAGCGAAGTTACAACTATTGTTCTGGACCAGTTGGCTGCCCGTCTGATCCTGCCACCGCCACATCAGGGCGAGCATTAGGAGTTGTATTTGAATCAGCCTCATCAGGCGCTGGCAAACCTGACACTCGAAGTGTGGCTGGAGCCATTGTGCCCTCCTTGGTTTTTTTTTTTTTTTTTTTTTTTTTTTTTTTGGGCCTGAGTCATGTTCAGGCAGAGGGACTGGAGTAGAAGGCAGCGAACTGGCAAGCCGAGCCAAACAGAGGGCTGTCACCGGTTGATGGATTGATTTGATTGAAGATAATCATTGACCATCATCCCTACGAACATCCCGTCGACGATGCGTCGGTAGTGGCCAATCAGGGACGGGTGTTATGGCCATCCGGTTCGCCGCCTCGTCTTTTCGAGCTAAATTTAATTGATTTTGATTTATTTTATTTTTCTGCCCCTGGCAGTAAAAGCAAAAAGAGAGGCGGTGGAGTCAGAAAGTCAATGAATGAATGAACTTTTTGGACCCTTTTCTGATCCCAGATTCCAGAACCTTGGTCTTCTTCGCGTCGAAGGTTATTATTAGGGAGCATTATTTATCCTTTTTTTTTTTGTATTCTTTATTGCATTATTGGGGGAGGGAGATGACGTCCCTCGTTGGAAGTGGTCCCATCATCCAATATGCTATCCACATCATCGCCTGTTCTTGGTATAGTTGTTCGAATCACTGCAAGATGACCGATCTCTCGCGACCCCCAATGACTAGTTTAGTTTCACTTTCTGGATCTGTTCTGTGCCTTTTTTATTTTTTTTCTTATTTTTTAATTTTATTTTTTTTTTACTCTGATTTCTGATTTATTTATTTTTAATTTTGGGTCTAGTTTTCGAAGCTAAAATTCCCAAGATGATCGATTCTATTCCTTTTTGGATAGATTCTCCCATACTTCCCCATACTTGTAGGAAACCTACAAAAGGCCACCCTCGTCCGCTCCCCATAACCCACTTCAAACCATTAAACAATCAATTAATCAATCAAGCTTCAAAGACTCTCTTGTGACAAACAATCTATCATCTCTCTCACACCTCCTTCATCCTCCTGACCTCATTGTTTTGCCTACGATTGCCTGGGCTTCTAGACTTTGCCTTGCTCCGCCACTGACCTTACTTTATATACCTCCTCTATCGCCCTCTACTCTCTGCCTTGAGTACTCCATATCATATCAACCCCTCTTATCTTCTATAATACTCTCTTCGCTACAAACCATCCTCTCGACTTTCCAAACAATAACAACAACACATCCACCACCACCACCATCATGCCTCATAAAGTCAACCAGTCCAATTCTACTCTGGCAAGCACTGGCAGTAGCGGTGACCAGGTGGTTGTCACAGATCTGCGAGGTATGTAGTGCTACCTTTGACTCTTACTAACATGATGTTCCCCGTTCTGCACCTTGGCCATTATCTCCAACTTGCACTAGGGCTGTCACTAACGGAACCGTTCTGGTGTCATAGGGTCCAACACAGGTCCACGCCGAACGCAACCTCCCGTCGTCGTTCATAACCAGGGGGGACAAATATATGACGAAACAAGACCATCCGATTGGGACAAGCAGCGGTGGAAGTAAACAATGAACGGTGCCAGCGTTTGGCCTTTGGTCACCTGCTGCTGGCCAGCGGGTGTGAGACGGGCTCTTAGTCAGCTGATTATCCGCGCGGCTTTCCCAAAGTGAGGCGAGTGATCGGCAGCACAACTTTCTCGTTTCTCTCGTCTTCCGCGTCTCTCGTTCGAGACCGGCAATGGGCGGATACGCTCTCTCTCTATACATTCTGGACCGCTCAAGTCACCGCAACCATGGCCCCCTGATGCTAGTTCCCACCGTGGCTGACCGTTCGTTCATTGACGTCCCCTTGTTGGGATCCCCGGATTCCACATCCATGCCCTTGTATATATATTACTGATGCCACTGTACTTTTACGAGCTTGGGTTGTCATTTGTTTGCTTTTGTCTTCTTCGTTATTGCCCTTTTCTTGTGTTCCTTTTCCCCCTTACCCGCCCTACCCTATCATTCAAAGCACATGATACATTCCCCCGGAATTGGCATGAACTCTGTGGTTGTCGCCCTTCCCTTGTTTTCCGATTGAAGCTTCGAGGTACCAGCGCCCTTGCATCTAACCATGCAATCACCCAACGAGAGAAGCCCATTAAACTTCTTCAGCAAGCGGTGTACCTACCGGTGGTTGGGACCCCGACACCATGAGCCAACTCTGATCCCCCTTCCTTCTCACCTTCGTTATAACGCGTGTATATTACCCTTTCTTTTTGCTTTCCTTTTTGGCCACTATTGATTCAGGTCCGGCGTTCCGCATAGCGTGGGGAGATTAGCGAATAATCTCAGGTGGTTGGCTATTATTATTATTGTTATTATCCTTTTCACTTTTCCGTTGGGTACACATCATCAGGTCATGTCATTGCCACTCACTCCTGGATTCTTTCTTGATGCTGGGCATTGGATTGAATTCCAATTCAACTCGCTCACTGGATTATCATCTTACGCCCGACATGACTTGATGGCTTTTTATTTTTGGATCGAAGGACTATTACTATCCTTGATTATATCTGTTCAATTAGTGATACGTATTGACACATCTATGCTTGTATAGTATTTTCGGATATATAATGTATTATCATTATGTGAACTTTGACTATCTTCCCCCCCCCGGTTGATTATTGTTCATTATAAATTAATCTATTTTTGACCCTTGAATAATTGGGTAATTAAAGTAACTGCCAACTGCCGGGAACATTCTTTAGGGGAGCCCTGAGAAGAAGGTGCGCTGTGCCCTGGGGACTTTCAGGGCGACGTATCGTGGGTAGATTTCAGACCAGGAGGAAGGAGTTTACCAAGGCCCGGCAACACGGCAGGATAACAAAGGGACATACGGAATACGTACATACATGCTTTGGGACCCAGTAAAGGGGGGACGGCCTTTAATCAAACTCCGGAATACTTACCCGGGTGGGATGAGCAGGAGTAGATCTTAGTCTATGTAATAAATGGGCCCCTTCTATAATGCGATGGAAATGGCTCGAGGTCTCGTGATGGTTATCTCCTATTTCATCGATCCATGACTAAGGTAGAGAGGAATAACCCTCCACAGGAGATGTCCTTCATAAGGTATCATGTATTGATTTCTACTACGATCTTTTTATGGTAGTAGTATACTATGCTCATCTCATCTCAGCTCATCCACCAAAATAAATAAGATACTCCCGGGTAGTTTGCTGGGAGTCACAAAAAAAGGGTAGGGTTCCAAGTAGAAACAAAGAAGAGGAAATCTAGAGAAAGCAGAGGGGCAAATGTGTCCAAACTGACACGGAAACGCTCAAGTTCATCCACCTGTCCAAATACCTTCTCGCTGTCCAAATCATTAGGGTAACAAAAGCTATGTTAACTCTTTTTACCTCGCAGCTTTTGTGTGGAAGATTTTTTTTCACTGGCGCTTTTGCTTTTGCTTTTTTTTTTGTCTTTTTTTTGGTTTCGGTCTTTTTTCTGCTTTTTTTTGGAGGGGACCTCTCTCCATCAGCCAAGATTCCGAATGGTGCAGACAACGCATTTCTCTGCCTGCGAAAGAAAAAAAAAGTATATTCCATGGGAGGTGAGAGGTTATGCCACATTAGTGTATGTATTTGAGTAGGATGGGGGAATTTCGGTCAAAGGGGGGCAAATATAATCTTCAGGTCAGCAAGCACAAACTGCCACCTGGGTGCCGATGAATGGGATTGAACTCCAAAAAGGCTGAGAAAAGAAAGATCACATATGAAATAAGAAATAATTTAATAAAAAAAAATGTAAACAGGCAAATGCAATTTAAGACTCGAACGGCTCGCGCTTGCAATGCTAGATATAAGAATGAGATGCAACTTGGAACTCCCAAGGGATGAAAACACAAGGAAATGGGTATGCCCTTTAGAAATATGATAATGCAAAAAGAGAACAAAGCTTCGATCGCATAGGTAATCGGTCGAGCATTGAGAATATCGATGATAGACATAAACCAGATCGAGCACTTATGCATATGAAGCTCAGTGCGACGATGTTGTTATCCACTAATGTATTGATACACTATTGACGGAAAGCACCCTCAACTGATTTGTTGATTTCAGTAGCTAGTGGTGAATGACATTTGTGGTTGAAGGAATTGCTGCCCCTGGGTGAACGTGGCCTCTTGATATACATGAGAATCCACATATTGCATACTCGGTGGTGGCGTAGGGGAGGGAGAGCAGGCGCTCGTCCCTGCGACCCCTTTCACGAAGGTAGTGCTTCCCCCATTAACAAAGGCATCGTTTTCGGGTGTAATTGGAGGCGTGATATATCCGTGGGGCATGTTCGACGGATGGGGAGCCTTCTGCGGCGTAGCAAGTCCAATTTCGCCTTCGTACGGTTTGGACTCAGCGTTGATGTCTGAGGGTGGGCTTGGTGGGGTGTAATTAGCGACCGAAGTTTGACGAGCCAAAAACTGCTCTAGAATCTTTGAGACCCTGGAGAAATGAGCCGACGAATATTTCCGGAACAAAATCTGAGAAGGCTGATGAAGCTGCTGAGACAAGCCCACCAATGTCATCGAATCGTATTGTGAAGCCCACTCGGTATGGCGAGGCTGTGGTCTATTAAGAATACACCGCGCAAGAGCTAATGAAGCTCTTGCAAGATCAGAGGATGGCTTGGACACAAACTCTCTGTGAAACAAAGAAATCTCTGAGATGTACAATGCCATGTGTTCGACCTCGGGATCGTATGGTGTGTCTATGACGGCCATCTGAAGGAAGCTGTCCACAGTTGGGTGTCCAATCGTCCAACCCAAAGTCTGCAGAACATGCCACTCCATCTGTGTGAACATATCGTCATCATACAGGGAGCAGCACATCGATTTGAGTTCCTTGATGGTTGGTACGCGATCCTTCTTGTCACCATATTTCGCTGCAATAAGCAAGGCTGCACACCCAACCAGTTGATAATGCCTCTTGTAGACCACACGCTTTGAGCAGTATCTATCGAGGAGATTGATTGTCAAAAAAAGGGTCGAGGGCAACAGCTGGAAGGCCGTGTGGGCTTCGATTAAGAAATCGAGCAAGTAAGGGCGCATAAACCACTGAATCTCCGTTTGGATATCGATCGATTCAACATCAGGGAGCGTAGATGCCTGAGACGAAGATAAGATTAGCCAAGAGCGACTTAGGTTAATTAGAGTATATGGTAACCAACATCCATGTCCAGCATGTGAGACAGAATATCATCACGGAACTCATCGCTGGCAATTTTGGACAGCTCATCCGCAATGGCATACTGGCGCTCGCGAGCAATCAATTTCGCGTGCTCCTTTGGGTCCATACGAGGCGCAGGGAAGTCCTCGTACGATTCCACAAAGAAAGTTTCGCAAGGCTGATAGCTGGACGTAGGACGCTTATGATAGGCCATGATGTCGAATTATGTCTATCTCGACGGTAATATTATTAAAAGAGTGGACCTGATCAGAGCCGAGTCTATCAGGAAACGACGGAATTAAGAGAATGACAGTCGCCAGATTATTTCGAATTAATGAGCGGAATTAGTTGGGAATATTAAAGACCAGTGTAAAGACGATAAGCCTGTATACTGGAAAGGAGAAAGGGAGCCGGACAACCAGTTGAAGCCTTTCGTGGCCGGAGCTAAAGGAGAGACTGTTAGTAAAGGTATTATTAGATATTAAAAATTAAAAGCCTTCAGAGAATGACAGGCTGCAAAAGTCAAACAGAAAAAAGAAATGTAGAGAATGGAGAGGTAGACGAAGCAAATATGCGAGGTTAAGGAAGGTCGATGAAGGAAGGTAAAAGTCAAAAGAAGATTGGGAGGTGATAAGGGGGGGGAAACCCGGGGATAAGAGTACTAACCCAGATTAAAGCCTTCGGGCAGAGGGCACGGTACAACCCTTACCGTGACGGCGAGTCTGGCATTTAGGCTGGGACAAGATGAGATGATCTGTCACCTGTGGACTGTAGGATACCAGTTCAAAAGGCGAAGGACGACCGAACGTCTTCACCCTAGGAACCGGCTTATGGGGGTACTCCGGAATGTGGAAGGGGAGTACAGGCACGAGCCCTATGTAGGGATAGGGAGATCGTCAGGGGAAGTCAGAATGCAACAAGAATGTTACGACGTACAATTTGCCCTCTGGTGTATGAATGGTTCTTGTACACAGCCGAGATAATGCAAACGGGGCGTTCAATGACCAGTTCCACAGTTAAGGGAGTGAGGTCAAGTTGAAGCTGAAGGTATCGGGGGAAAGATCAAAATCGGTCTCCTGGAGCAGGAAAAAGTCATGTTAGCCACTCAGTCCTTTCCAGGTGTTCTTTCTGGTTTCCTCATTTAAATTGTGCGTAAGACTTCAATTGCGTGATGTTGTAGCTTGGGCATGTCATAGGTTCAAGTGGTGGCCAAAGTATGCACGATATTGACAGTTTCCATGCTCTCCAGAGCACCTGAATACCCCTTGAACCACCCCGGCCATTGAAGAATGTGAGCCACTCTTGCAGATGATATGAACGGCTGATGAGATAATCTTCATCCAGAACGTAGGACCCGTGTTATGAAAGCATCCTAATCTTCCAACCTCACGAGAACCCGTTATTCCGACCAATTCTTATTATCTGAGGCTTTCTCAACCGGTCGCCCACCTGCCCCGATCTATCCATTGTCTAGTCGTGAAGAATTGTTGAAATCCATATGCAGGCCAATTGCTCCATGGGGGAGCAGGAGGTTTCGTAGGTGTTGAAAGTTGCAACCGATTCAGGTTTATTATCCAATTGTCGGTTTTGAACCATTGGCATTCGCCAGCATATTGGGCATATTCACACAGTGAATTTTTACCGGATCCATATCGATAGAAGACCAACGACACATGCAAATATCATCCTAGTCTTGTCCCAAACACACAATTGACGCACGAATGGGGGATTGTGCTTAACCAGGGAAAGGGGAAAGGGAAGATTCTCTCACCTCCCAAGAAATCACCACAAAATACAAATCATATACACAAAAAACGCTTATGACAGAAAAGGAGACGAAGACGAAAGATGGAAAAAAAAAGCCCTTCTTGGTCGTTCTTCTAACCGGCAGAAGCTTGATCAGGGGAACAACGTCGACGTCACGGATCGGACACCGGCGGTCAGGGGAATCGCCGTTTGAGCTAACAAACGTCGAAATATGAGGACGTCGAAGCAAAGAAGCTGACGGACACGGCTCGACTGGAGAGCTAGTGCAACGGGCTGAAGATGGGGTCGACAGATATAGACAATTCCGTCAACTGTATCCTTGCCGGCAGACCAGTCTCAGATCTCTCCAAGAATTGGCGGGAGGCTAGAAAAGGAGGAGGGGGGAAGGAGGAAAGGGAGAGGAGGCGAAGATGGAAGGAAAGGAGGAGAGAAAAAATGAGGAGGAGTGATCTCTCTCCAGGCGGGTGTAGTAGAGGAAAAGAAAAGAAGAGAGGGAATCAGAAATGGAGACAAGAGTCGGAGATAGAAGTCTCGAGAGTCGCTGCAGGTTACCTCTGCCCACACCGTATGGTAAAGCGTGACGCTTTTCCCGTATTGAGGATCGTGTTTAGTATTCCCAGTATTAATTAGCAGTAACAGTAATGTGAAAGGTACCAGGTAAGCGTATGGTTCGGTCCTTGTTTCAGCGCCGTCTCAATGATACCTAACCTCGCCGACCAGCGTTGGCTGAGAGTTCTACGAACGGACCTTACCTTGCACCTCCTAGAACTGTAGGCGAAAAAGCATGCCATATCCAGTAGATTGTGAAACAATGGAATGATTTGACAAAATGACGCCTTGCCTTGTCTCATGCCTACATTTCCAACCACCAGTGACCCATCAAAGGATATGGTGGCCGGGGGGAAATTGGACTGAATTACTGAATGATACAGGATACTGGTTTGAATTCGAGAATAGGAGTTCCATCAATGCTCAGCACCGCAACAATAGTCGTAATGAGGTAGGTAGCTATACTACTAGTTAGTCCTAATTTGCAGAACCTCGCATAGAGCATTATAATAGTACGGAGTACTTGGCAGGGAAGTCTGCCTAGCGCAGCCTAAGCCCATACAGGATCGAGGGGAGCCCTTACTGAAGGGCGAAAGTTAATACCGTTGATACGGCCAGGTACGTAATTTTAGCCATTTAGTAAGGTACCTGGTACCTAGTACTGAGTGACCGGCCGTATACGGTACAAGGTTACTTACTACCTTGTACTAATTATCTCCGGCTTTCTGTGTCGTTCTTCCTTCCAGGGAGCCAGATTTTTCGTATCAATGTATAACAATCATCGATTTTCAGGATCCATTGAGCCCTAGATCCAGCCAGGGAAATACATATCCTACGTTACAATGCTTGCTGACGGTCGTATTCCCTTTAATATTTTCTAATATACATTCAATGACAGGTCTTTGTTCATCTATACAGGACATCGTTATTATTTTCTTATTGAATTTATTACTATTTCATTTTTTTTCCCGTTATTTTTCGCTCTTGAAGGCTGCATCTAAACTCTCTAACCTGCACCAGCGCTCCTTCGGTGGGCTTCTCGGTGGGGTGATCTCCGTCGTCACCGACCAGTCCTCACCAGCCATTGACTCCCTTATTCAAGCCAGGAACACCTCGGGTCCTTGGCTCAGTGACCAACTATTTTGTCCTTTTCGTTTTTCATTTTTTTCTTTTCCTTTTCCTTTTCCTTTTCCCTTTTTTTTTTTTTTTTTTTCTTTTTATCTTTTTCTTTTTTTTTTTTTTTTTTTTTTTTTTTTTCTCCTTTCCATTTATATTAAACTTACAAATTTGGGGCCTACTGTGCAAGCTGTGTCACTGTAAATTCCTCTACTGTAGGTAAGCCAGAGTTTCATGGTACTTCTATTGCACATTGCGGTCTGCAGCAGAAAATCACGAATGGTAATTTTTACGCCTCTTCCCTTTCAAAGAAATTGATATCGCTATGAAATTCCATCACTTGATTATGGAGTATGTGTGTAGATAGGTACAGTACACTGATGGATAGATCCATGTCATATATTACCGGCTATTGAGCGTATGATGAAGTCACTTTTCTCATTTGATACTTTGGATAGCCCTAGACTAGCCTCTTCCTAGTAAATTCAAGAATCGTAATGCTATTTGATGACTACCCACATATTGCGGAGTGACCGACTTTAGTTTTCAGCTGCTGACGGTCTGTAAATAACCATCAATGAGTGGTTCGCATTTTACGACGCACTTCGGTAGAGGTATGATACTACGTACACATACATACATACATACATGGAAGCGGTCGCGTCTCGCCGTCATAGACTGCTGACTGGCTCAGCGCCAAAACTACCCTGACTTCTTGTCCACTCCATCGCGTGTCTCCTGCAGCCATTCACGACCCGCCAATGCCATCTTCTATGCCCCTCGCCCGAGCTTATGTATGTACATCCCTCGACCAGTCGACTAGAGTTTTTGACACACCCGGAGTCTCAACCATGATTTACCGTGGAGAGAATCATATGTCAAACTTTTTCTTCCGAACTATGTATGAACACGACACGCTGAAGCGACGCGATATTCGGTTGATCTCGACCTTTGAACCTAATTTAACGACATGAATCCGCTACACGGAATTCTCTTACTGATTGGCAGGGCTTCTTTCATCTACCATTCACGTTATTGACATACAGTTCTTCAACACATGTTTATCTCGTCATTGATGTTCCATCGTGAACGGAAACCCAATAGAAAGGAGGGGCTACCCTTACTATCGTGACATATAGACGATCTCATCAAAAACCATTGTTTTGCTTCCGCATTTGTACAACCTGTAGGGAGTTGGTACTTTTCTACAGGACACATGGCTTAGCTATCAATAGTCCGGGGAGACATGCTGTCACGACACCATCATTATCGGCTCCTCACGATCACAGACAGCACAGCTACTAGAGCGGAAGCTATATACATCGTGCCGTTGGTGCCACGCAGTCTGTCTGCTACCATGCAACATATCCGGAAATACCCTGTCCAGAAAGGTCTTTGGTCAAAGTTCTAATTCTCGACGCCTATCATCCAGTCAATGGCAAATATTTCTCCAATTAACGGCGTTGTGTTACCCCTTCTTTCATCGCTAGCCCCAAAAAGACTCGTGAAATTTGGCTATGGGTGCCATTTCATACACAGACACTGTGATACGGTGCAAACCAAGCAAGGGGCGCAATTGACTGGCTAGGAGTGATCCATTATCAATTGCCCGTCTTGTCCAATTCTAATTGTATCTATCCATGTTACCTATTTTGGATATAAAGTAGCCGTCCTATGACTCTACGTACACCGTACTCTCCTCGGGAAGCTTTCATATTCTGGACCGGATATGATCCCCGGGCTTAGTTTGTAGGTCATCGCCATAGTTCGGACGAAGACTATAATATCCACTCTCCATATACATACACGCCTCCCTTCGTAAATGGGCAGTGGCTGAGGTGGCTGGAAGCAGTTTAAGTTCATTTCCCCCACATCAAAATGCATTACCTCCATTATGCAATGGTGGCTATCTTATCCCTGCACTAGGACTCATCGTTCAGCACGGAACGGCCATGTCCTTGCTTGGTATTCGGGGCGATCATTTCCACTCTCCACTGGCGTTGTATCGGCTCGACCTTCGGAAAGCATGTGCATCTCTCCCGACAAAAGTCGAGAAATTAATCCGTGGTACGATCTAAGTAGACTATTGAAAGCGGGACAGCCGCCTTTCGTAGATGGGGGTGCAATGCACGATTGCGTGTGCTGCCGATAAATCGCCCTACTTCATTCTTCCGAGTGTGCGCTATCCAAATTCGTCGTCCCCAACAACAGTCACTATAGCCCCTTATCCCAATATTAACCCGTCGTAGTTAAACCAATTACTTAAGCCAGGGATACCGCCCTAACTAATTAATACTGAATGACTTACGGAGTAGCAACTGCGCCAGATAGGTACAATGAAACACATATTACAGGGGTAAAAGGGGCACTTGCTAGCAGGGTTGATTATCCTAAGCCCCCGAATTTTTGAAGCGATAATAGGTTAGAAACATGTCTCCATGTCTGTAGTTAACAATTAGAGTATACCTATGTATTTTCAGTGCAACCTAAGTTCGAAATTGTCTCCTAGTAGAAATATCAGGCCATTGTGACACAGACAGAGCTTAAAAGGGGAGAGGGGCGCAGCTTGTCAGTCTACGACCTTCCATTAGTAGAAGTTGGGAGGGAGGGAGTACTTTGTCGTCTTCCTATATTAATCCCTTGGCCATTCGTATTGTGATGGACAACCTCCAAATATGGGGTAATCACTAGGGACTTAGTGGTGTCCTTGCCTAAAATAGCAAAGAGTGGCATTGCCGCCCATGTATCATTTCTTCGCCGACTAGTAATATGTTCGATTTCTTCTCCTTTAGGAAATAGCTGAGGGTGGCGATTCCGCAAGAGATCGATCAAAAGGAATCCGTTGGGAACAGATACATATTATTTTGCCGACATTACTCTTTATATGGGAATCATATCTGCATATTCCAATTTTAAAGGTGACTTGGCTACTTACGCGGATGCTCGAGGTGCTTTTTCCGAGATAATTATAGACCTCTCCTTGCTGTGTACCTGCAGATCTTATATTCATTACTTACTTTCTCTCATCATTCACACACTTCTACTACTTGCAGTTGTCCTTGCACGGTCCCATGCATATTCCACCTATACTCAAATCGTTCAGGATGTGCATACTTGCTGTTCCCCAAGTTGGTAGTACGATTATGGATCTTTGATGTTGGTGCAACAAACGGATCCAACTTACTTTGTGCAGATATATTTCGTACTCTCGGGCGTATATCACTGTTTGCCTTGGAGTTGATTCAAGGATTGTAGACCTTTATTTTATGTTATACATGTGCTCTGGTCTGTCTGTATCTATACGTGTTAAACGATAATACACCAGAATTCTTGATGTATCATTGAACCATCCCGTTGAACATGACCCAAAAGACTAGGCTGAAAACGCAGTGGAGGTATAACAATAGTAACCCGGTCTGTAATATAGTATTTGCAAAATATCACTCTTTTTTTCATTACTCTAATTTAAAGTCCTAGTTCACTGCGGCATAAAAACACACCGCAATCGAAACGCTGAAATTTTGTGGCAACCCACTGCGGATCTCGAAAAATACAGTAGCAGAGGATACTACTTCCGCCCACTCACCTTGCCACCTTGAAGCCGAACATGACAAACCGCCAGGCATCAGAAGGGACATACATAAAAATCATCCTTGCCTGCGTTCGGTTGCCTAGAGGCAGAAGGGGACAAAGAACGTAAATTTCTACCAAAGGGCAGTGGTTCAAGGTTAATTAAGCAGCATTTTCATCCTCGAAGGAAAAGCCAATCTGCAGCCCCGCAATTCCGGCAAGTCGGTCCACCTACAAAAAACGAATGTTCAACGTTGGCCACTTTTGTACATACAGTACGCACAAAACGGCGGTAGCCGGAAGTAGCGGCTGCGATACTCATACTAAGCGAATCTGGATATGTCGGTATGAGAATATGGGATGATGTGGGCCTGGTAGGGCGAAAATTGGTAAGAAAAAACCTGTCAACAAGCGGTGTTCTGGAAGACCTGAAGAACTTCATAGAATTGGTACATATGTCAGATTCCCGTCGCATATTGGTCCAATTCGGTCTACGGCTCATCTACGGAGTATAGTCGGTGATCTGATCCATATCCTGGCATTGGATGAGTCGAAAGATGTTCAATACTCTGCAAATAATTATCTTATACGCACATGGCTGCACATCCTTTGATGTATCTACACCTTGGCTGTGCGTATCGAGTAAAAGTAGATCTGACAAACGCGGAAAGTGCCCAGGTCTCTCTCTCTCTCTCTCTTTCTTATCGTCGCCATCTCCCTCCCTTCGTATTATTTCTAGTTATGGTCCTACAGAGCATAGATACCATTATTATTTGCAAGATCACATTGGTACTACGTGGATCCACTACGTTTCTCTTCTGACAGTTCTTAAGTCGGCATTCCTTTTATGGTGGTGGACGAAACACTCTTGTGCCACCAACAAGAATCATGTGCGCAAGCCCTTGGTCGAAACCATGCAATTGCCACTTTACTCGTAGAAGCCGCATGTCTGTAGCCGATCAAGTGATCGAACTTTTACTTTAACCTTCAATCTCTGTGTCATAACGCATGCAGCCATGTATCAATATTGCTCCCGTTCCGAATGACACTTGACGCTACGGTAGTGTGCCCTACGATAACCGACGCACTTGAACAATTGAGGCATTTACATCCAGCATATCGCATGGTAATCGTTTCAAACAAAGTGGGAAACCCATGCAGGATGTGAGCCTTTTAATAATACTCGATCAGCGAATGAAGGCCCGGCTGATTGATAACGACTACTAAGCAGAAACGCGAAAAGTCAGAACCTGCAAGACAATATGACCGTTTGCGGTAAGGCTGTTTTCTCACGGTTGGGGCAGCGGAGAGCCTCAACCATGGTTCGTATTTTTTCGTTTCCTTTTCAGCTGCGTTCTGATGGCATATGGAGGCATTTTATGTCAAGTTTGACCATTCATTCCTCTTATAAGGCATACCCAGGTAAGCTGTACTGTATGCCGAGAACGATACGGAGTAAGGCTTTGTACATACAGACATACTAGAGGAGAAAATGGCTTAGCGTGAAATCTACGGTGGATCCGATTGTAGTGTAAATAAACGACTCCACATTTAACCCCAAAGCTCTAAAGGGAAACAAAAGCAAATGGAAAGATTAAAGAATAAATAGATGATTATTCAGCTAGTATTTCTCGATGTTTCGTCCAATGATAGGTTGTTAAAAAAGAAGTTTACCCTCGGTCATACTAGTAGTTTAAGAGTGCTATTTACAACAAAACTACATATAGTCCAGTAAGTAAGTTTGTTGCTTCACACTTGTCACAGGATTGCAGAAAACAAAGAGTCGCGTGCGAGGCACAAATACTGCGCGTTCTGTTCGTTTTTCTCTCGACAGTTCCATGGCGTCATTGATTGACTCGCGTCCCACGTTTCGGCTACCCCGGCCTGGAATTATGAGCCACGATCATCGATGAGAAATTAGGTTCCAAGTCATTTCTATTCTGGGTAATCTCTTCATTTCAATGGTTGACTCTAGAACGTCCCCTTTTCTTTACATCCGACGCTTTCCTCAAAAGCCGTCGGACTTTCGCCCTTCACCACACCATTTGGCCGGATCGAACAGACACACAGACACTACTGATTTATCGTCAGACAAGCCACGTTTCCATATCTACCATTTGTCCAAGTCCTTGAGCAGTGTCGCGGGTCCATTCTCCCCCGAAGTTAAGGGGGTCAGAATGACATAAAGCGTAATCTGGCCGCGATGCTTGGCGTGGACTCCAGAGGCCTTTTATGCGCGCTGATTCGATGATCGCCTGAGCAAAACCAGCGTGTGCTTTACCCTCCTTGATGTTCTCCAGTAATCCTGGTCTGGAAGTTTACTTCCCGCGTCCGTTCGTGCCTTACAACTGGGATGGGACCCGGGATTGATTGGTCCGGCGATAGTTCATCAAGCTAATGGCTGGTTTTCCCACTTTTCTTGTCCACATGTTGGATTCCTTGCAAAAGTCCCCGGGAATAATATATGGACCTCGCCTGCAATTGGATATGTGCCACGCAGCATATAAGACTGCTAATTTCGGCTGACACGCCTGGGCCAATACATCAGCCACCTCCTGAATCGAATCATACATCATAACCCATTATTACTAAAGATAATCCTGATAGCTGCACACAGTACTCACATGCGTTGTTCTAATTGACTAACGGAAGCCTGGATCCGACCGTCTTACGCTCCTACGCCCTACCATGGGATTAGGCCTTTGACCATATTCGGAATCCCTATCAGTTGAAGGTATCCTTACAAGGCATACGGCTACTGTCTTCTGTTGTCGAATATCTAGTGCCCATTCCCATAATTAGAGGCATTCGACATTAGTCTCTTGCCGATTGCCATTGATACCATGCTGCATCGTCTAGTTACTGACCTTTGCTAGCGTATAAACAAAACAGTCGCACTACTTAAAGACTGTTAGGTACCAATAAACGAGGGACCAGCGACGGCCAGTTTCCGGAATGGTTTGCAGAATAAAACTATGCCACCACGCAGTATGCAATGACCGCGAGAAAGCGTCAGTGAAATGTAAACACAGCACACCCACTGCTGCACAGTCAATCCTGGTCGCGAATTTGATCCCATTTAGTAGAACTCACGCATAACTACTGCGCCATGAATACACGCTGAAACTTGGTCATCAACCATGAGACGGTGGTCGCGTAGTAGACGCCACCAGGGAAAAGAAGGTAAAGAAAGAAAGAGCTCCGTCACATCTGCAATTGAGTATGCCCTCATTTCCATTCAAGGTGTCGCATAGAGTTTCATTGAGCCATGGATCCCATCATCTTGGGGGTCGGAAATAAAATAGCCAGGATTTAAGCGGAACTGAACCATTTTGAGCAATCATGGCGAATCAACCGAAGATCTGAATAATGAATGCTTATCTCCCGGGGATTGTCTTCGACCGGTTTGAAAGTGGTATCGTCTGAATGTGTGCGGCTCAGGTTGATTCCTGTTCACGGCATGGATCGTGCCTATCAAACAACACCCCCGCAGGCGCACAGCCCGAGATCGAATTAAACTGCATATCGCCACCCCATTCAGCTGAGCCTGGTGAATCTATCGGAGAAATTCAGAGAAACCCTTCCCCACTCGCTAACAATCTCTTGTTTCTGAACACTCGTCCTTGATGTCTACGAGGATAAGGTTGCCTAGTCATATAGATGTACTCCCTCTTTTTGACCCGAAGACAAATTGAAGTCCAGCTCCTTGGAGTCTCCACTGATTAAACTCCTGAAATTGACCCTTTTTGTGGTATGGCACCCCGGCAAAACCTGGGATCATTGCGCCCTATCACTACGTTCGAATAACGGGGACTGAATTACTAGCTATCTGCTGGTGACATGCAATGCCGGAACTATAACCGGGGTTTCTCTGACGTGGCAATCCCTCTATATTAAATGGACTTATATGGGCCTATCAAATACGATGGACGTGCGTCTGTTTATTACTGATAACTCTTAGGTGAAATGCGACAAGTTTATTTTTGCTGATACGCTCTCTTGAACCGGCTTGCACCACGGTCATTTGGAATTAAAAAGCACCTACTGCTTTGCATGCGTATATTACTTACATACAGCACTTTGCGTTACGCGGCTTGTATGCTTCAAATGATAGGGGACATGCATCCCTTAACTATCGGCGTGCTTCAAGAGCCTAGTCGTATGGTGCTTTGACTCACCACGAAAGTGTACCACAAGCATTCAGTAACAATAATAAGCTCTGCAATGCCTATTTTCCCTGACAACACTGCTTGGCGTTATATTTTGAAACTATAGCAGGGAGTTGGCCATACTACATATTGGGAGTTCGCCAAGAGGAGTACCCTTGATATTTGGTGTCCCATAATGCTGGACGCAAGTTGCCTCAGTGCTTCCTTTCAACTGAAACAAAGAATATTTTTATACTCGTTCCCAAGCCTTGACTCTTTGGAAGCTCCTTGGTGCGATGCCTAATTGTAGCATTACGCCGGAGTGCAGACTGGGCTCTAAATCATCAGATGGATCATTTTAATATTTCCTTTGTCCGTGTTAATGACATGTACTCGCTCCTCTTCTGTTGGATATTCTCTTGTCGTGTTAAAAATTATTGTAAGGCACTGAAAGAGATACCAAATACTAGTATATTAGTATTTACAGTACGTACTATGTGAACTTCATGATCGTCCATCGATTTGCTCTCCTAGTCACAAAGGTGCTGGAATGATGCCTTTGTAATATTTGCGATCTCACTTCCTAGAAAATACCGAAGAATTAAGTAAAGAGAGGAGCCTTGTGCCTTGCCTAAGTTTTTTTTTTGACGCTCCACAAGCAACCAACCGGAAAATCACGTGATATAACACATTGGAACCTCCGCGGCGCTAAAAATTGTATCCAAAAAAAAAAAAAAAAGAGAGAGAGATCGAGGCCACCACCACAACAGTGACACCTTTGAAACATCTTTGACCTTTTCTTTACCAACAACGGAATGATTGTATAGCGGTCGGCTCTACAGGTTGAGAGCCGGGGTAGGTCTTTTTCTGCTCTCCAACGAGGATCTACTTCATTTTTTTTTTCTTTCATTCCATTCAAGCAAGAAGCTTCGTCAACTATTAAACTCGATTTTACCGCATTACGCCGTTAATCATAATGGATATACACCGCTGCCGCTTCGTTCCTTATAACCCTCAAGCGATCAATGCGCTCGCGTTCTCCCACCCTCCGTCTGCAGAACTTGCGGGACGTGGTGTCCCCACCCTCCGACTCGCAGTTGGTCGCGCAAATGGCGATATTGAAATATGGAATCCATTGCGCGGCGCATGGTTTCAGGAGACAGTTCTCCGCGGAGGAAAGGATAGAAGCATAGAAGGACTTACCTGGACACTCGATCCGTCTGAGACTCTCCCGGATGGTTCAAAGATACCCGGACGACTGCGCTTGTTCAGTATCGGATACTCGACTGCGGTGACTGAATGGGATATTGAACAGGGGCGTCCTCTGCGTCACTCAAGCGGAAATTATGGCGAGATCTGGTGCATAGCGGCTCAGCCAAGATGGCAGCCTACGAAACGGGGAAAGGATGGCAAGTGGCTGCCTCCAGCGGAAGGAGAATACACCGGACAATACCTCGCCGCGGGATGCGCGGATGGATCTATCGTGATATTGTCTACGGCCGACAATGATGTTAGGTTCCTTCGTCTTATGCGACCTTCTACAAAGAGAGCCAGGGTGCTTAGCGTCACCTTCCAAGATCGTAACACTATTGTGGCCGGCTATGCAGACAGCTCAATCCGTCTGTTTGATATTCGGAATGGCCAACTCCTACGAACAATTTCTTTGGGCAAGGGACCGACGGGCGGTACGAAGGAATTGCTGGTATGGTCTGTGAAGTGCCTTCCCGACGGCACTATTGTTTCTGGCGACTCTGCTGGTGAAGTTCGTTTTTGGGACGGCAAGAATTACTCGCTTATCCAACGACTCCATTGCCACTTGGCTGATACTTTAGACATTGCCGTGAGTGCCAATGGAGATACAGTTATTAGCGGGGGTGCGGACCAAAGAACAGTTGTCTACAGAAAGAAGGTTGGAGAGAAGGGCGATAAGAAAGGCCGGTGGGTTGAGGTGATGCACCGGCGGTACCATACCCATGATGTGAAGACCTTTGCTGTCTATGAGACGAAGGACATTAGTGTTGTTGTTTCTGGAGGTAGGAATTGATTTCATCTTCCAAGCGTTGGCAAAGTTGGCTAACAATAACCAGGACCTGACGCCACACCGGTTGTCTTACCTTTGCGTGAGTTCGGAAAAGAGCACCACAGAAAGCTATCGAGTCTGCCTCAAATACCACAGCTTGCGTCTTCGCCTTCATCTCGACTGGTCATGAGCTTTTGGGATAGAGAGATTAGCATTTGGCGCCTCTTCCGCGGTCCCACATCTTTGCAAGAAAACCTCGATGGGCAAAGGCACAGATTAGTTGGAAAGGTCCTGATCCAGGTATGTGAAGATCACCCAGTATCGAAGCTCATGAAGTTGGTTGCTGATGGACTGTTCGCACGATAGGGCGAGGAGAATATCACCTCAGCTATGCTATCCTCCGACGGAAAGATCCTAGTCGTTGCTACGATATCCAGCGTCAAGGTATTTTCTGTTCGGCGGCGTAAAGGCGATGAGAAAGGAACCCTCCGCATACAAAAACTTGATATCCCGCCTACACTCGCTAATGATGGAGCTCGAGTTGTTACTGTTTCCCCCGATAGTCGGTGGATCTGTGTCGTTCGTCCCAACAGTGCTACCTATTTAGCCAGGATCAAGCCTGCTTCGTCGCCTCAAGAGAAACCCCAGGTCCTAACCCAACTCGTCAAACTTAACAGAGCTGCCCGTCATGCTCGCCATGAGAAGGCTTCCCATGGTACCCTGGGTGAGTACGAAAAGACCATCCGATGCGCCGTGTTCTCCGAAAACAGCAAGATCTTTGCAGTCGGAGATCTCTCCGGGTGTTTGGATGCCTGGTCGCTGGAGAAAGCTGAATCAAAGACTTTGGTGAAAGCCAATGCTCCGGAAGACTCCGATGAAGATTCTGACGATGAGGATGACCAGCCAGTGGTTGAGGGCGAGCATTGGACTCACACAGCCGCTGAATCGCCAATTCCCCGTCTCAAGTCTGGCGTACTACTGTTGTCCTTCCGCCCTCTGAACCAGGCCGGCAAGAAGTTATTGGCCGACGGTGCTGGCCAGGACTCTAAGGTTGAAAGCCGGTTGATGGCTCTTACAAGTGAGCACCAACTGGTGGAAGTTGATGCTCTTGATGGAAAGTTGTCGGATTGGTCAAGGAGAAACCCCAAGGCTTTCTTACCTGCAGAGTTTAGAGGTGTAAAGGATCGCGCGATGGGCTGTGTTTGGGACTTGAACGAGGCCCGTGAACGTCTCTGGCTCTATGGTACTTCTTGGCTGTGGATGTTTGACTTGAACCAGGACTTTCCGTCTCCGGAAGAACTGAGTGCTTCTGCAGATACTCATGATGATGGACAGGGTTCGATGCAGGTTGCTAAGAAGTCTTCATCCCAAAAGCGCAAGCGTGGGCTTTTGGATGATGAGGAGAATGACAGAAAGAAGTCGAATACTGGTGCCGGTGACAAGATTTCATTAGCACAGTCTGACGTTTTCTTTGGTTCCAAGATCCGCAAAATCGTAGGAAGCGACGAGTCGAAGGCCCAATTGATATCTCTCGAGAAGGAGCGTCCTCGTGGGGCAGATGAAGATGATGAAGCATACGATCACGATGAAGCTTATGCAGCCCGCCATGATTCTAACCTGGCTCGCCTAAGAAGAGGAAATCTCGAAGGAAACGACGTCAGCACCCCTAGGAAGCATCTTAACAAGACAGCTGTCAATGGCGACACACCCTCTCAGAAACAGTTGGTGCAGGCCGTGGATAACTCACATTCGGCACGTCGCTGGTGGCATACATACAAATACCGTGATGTTCTCGGAATTGTACCTTTACACCCTCAGGCAACGGATGAAGAATCGCAGGAACAGGAACGTGAAGACGGCGGTAACTTGGAGGTTGCAGTTGTGGAGCGGCCCATGTGGGACGTTGAGCTTCCTGGTCGCTATGTTAGGGACTATGAGTGATGGAGTCACCTTTAGGTACAGTGCATTAGACCCAACTGAAGATGGAGTATCATTTGCGGGTCGATGTGGCAAGCGGTTCATCCTTCTACGTTTTTCTTTTCTCGTCTTTGAACACCTGTCTGCTGAGATCCCTTCCCAGTTGATAGGGCCCCGATGTCTGGCGCTTTTGTACAGGAATATCCATTTCTACTTCTTCGGCTAGCAGGATGTGCTATTTTAGAGACTCATACATACAAAAGTTATTCATACAACGGCGATACCTGATCTATAACCTTATTGGCGTGTAGGCAGCGAGGATGTTGACGGCCGCCTCAGGCGCCGCGCGGCTGGCAGGTGACTTGGCATCAGTCAACCATCTTGTAACTCTCACCTCTTTTACTACTACTGCTGCTGCTGCTTCTTCGTCAGCGTCGTATTCGGCCACGTCATACCTACCCTCTAAGGATGGCAGGAATAGTATTCGTTTGCATTGTTAAATGCTGCTGCCTCCAATTGTATCACCATATATACATCGCTTATGCCCTTCCTTCGCAAAGATCTCACCCCTTGCAGTCACTTGGGTTTAGAGTGGTACACTGTACCTCTATTTTATTTTTTTAAGCCCCCTCGCTGTGAGATCGGATTCCTTGAGGAATTATCTTGGTTCCTAAGTTCGCCTCACAGACGTTGAGGGTTCCCAGTCTGAAAGCCATGATAAACAGCAGCCCGCACTGTATCATCTGTGGTGCAAAGATTCCATATCGTCACCTCACAGTCTCTTGGAAAAGAAACTTTCGTGCAAGTCTGTGCTGAGCTGTTTTTCTCTCCTCGATGCAGTGGATTTATCGGTTAGTATTTGTGAACTGACATTTATATAGTTCGATGTGATGGTAATTCTCAGTTAGATGGGAAGCCTTTCATTACAGGAGTGGGCAGCTATGTCCCTCCAGAGATCCTTCATAACTGTGCTGCACCTTCTTCTGCAGAACAGCGATGGGATGATAATGACTTTACTTTGTCAGAGGAGGACACATTTCCTTCGCTGATAGGTGACCGACTCCACCCGCAACCTAGGTTCCTCCTTCATGAGTCGTGTTGGGAATTACTACGAGGCATGCTTCATCCCCACGCCGTTCCTATCCAACGGTTGTACGATATTTGCCTCTCATGTCCAGCACACATAGAAGGATGGTTAGATTGGGGCCATAGCTACGGTGGGCTCATGGATTGACATCCCATTGAGGGTTATCTGTGGGAAGATGTATATATTGCGGGCTATATAAAACGATTCTTATGGGACAAGAGCTCTTCCTTGACGTTAGCCACGTCAGATCCGTCGGACGTATTGGAGGTGCGACAAGCGCTTGTTGGTTCTCAGAATAGGCGACAGAATACGACATTGACCAGTTCAATATCCTCAGATTGGGTAACCACCGCTGATTGCTTTCAAAAGCTTCCTCAAGAGATACTGGAACAAATCCAGATGCTTCTACCATCTTGCGGTGTTGCCAATGTTCGTTTGGCATCAAGGTCGTTTGCCGGCTTACCACTCACGCAGTCATTCTGGGCTTCAAGGTTTGCTTACCATCAAGAGCGTGGATATTGCTTCGAGGCTAGGGATCTACTATATAATGGGGCTCATGCACTGCGCAGTAGAGATTGGAGGGCTGTCTACGAGGAAACAGCAGTGACATCAGACTCATCCAACGAGTTGAAGAATCGAAAGCGGATCTGGGGTTACTTGAAGAACATGGCAGATCTAGTTCTTGACCAACCGTTGAGCAGTGAAGGGATGAACAGGGAGCTTGAACTATGGCCAAAGGAGCCTGTAACATCGTGGAGACCAGTTGGAGGAGACTTTTCCGTACGATCCAACGGAAACTCACCTTACCAAATGAAATGTAGGGTGATATATGAGCAAACTATCTCAATCACCTCTTCGATAAGATCAATCGGGGTTTCCTTTCAGGAACTAAGTGATAAGAAATATGTCTCAGGTCTTCGATTCGTACTTACAAACAAAGAACAGCTTATATTGGGCTATGCCCTTCCTCCTAAGGAGAAACACATAGGGTTAAGCAAAGAGTGCTTCAACTTGAATGGGTTCATCGCTGCCGTCGGCCCTAGAGGTGTCATGGCACTCCGTGTTGTAACCGGACAAGGAGAGATATCCAACTGGGTAGGCTCGTCAGAAGGCTTGCCGCAGACAGCTCGCCTGTGTACCAATAGAGCAATCCACGCTTTGAAAGGTTCCTTCGATGTGAGCTCACTCTCCTTCTCTTTAAAATGATAAACACCACTGACAGACATGATCAAGGGTTTCAAAATGGTATCTTTAGCTGTCCCCACAGACCTTCAGCCTCTCTTTCCAGATGAGACCGGATGTGAACACCTCCCCTTGGGAACTACAGGGCTTTGGTATCCGGAGATCCCTCCCTTGTCCTACCATCTCCACGATGACATCTTCGCTGGACGAAGCATATCTCTCTATGAATACCGCCCACTTGTGCATGTCATGTTTGGCGGAAGACGGGGTAACCTCCTTAAATACCTAACCCGCATTTCAGTTACAGTGTCCAATGCAGCAATTGTGGAGATAGACTTCTTCTACACAGATCATTCCCCCGTAAAGCAACTTCAAGCTTGCCCCTCAACCGCTAGCGGGGACAACTCCGTCAAGATCCCCTTCCTAATTGATGGGCCAGGAGGTGAGCGGTTAACAAGTCTCCAATCGGACGGTGATTTCCTCCGAGCGTCTGCTGGCTACGGGTCGTACAGAATAAAAATAACATCATTGAAGTAAACAAACCTACCATTCCAACTACCAGCACGTGCACTTCAAAATCAAGGGGACATCATCATATACAACCGACACATGAAGATCTTTCCCAACAGCAGTCAAGCTGGGTAACCTAACAGATGCAAACAATGACTAACAGTGCATTCTAGATAACGACAAACACAAAGCCGAAGCCCTTCATCTTCCAACCAAGTGCTATTCCAGCCTTGAAACTCCCCGCCGGAGGCTTTCCTCCTCGAAAGCCCAAGAAATCAGAAATACTACCTGGTACTACCTTGACGGGTATATATTTTATGTATGTAAGTATCACCCTATCCTTTATTGGGGTTTGGTCTGTGTCCGATTACGTGCATTTATATTTTCAGGTATGCATTACGTCTACAATTCTTGTTACTGACATGGGTTGGATGTAGGATTCTCAGTTTGCTATGAGCAGTATTGGACCCATTTCTGAGGACTTGAGGGAAGGTCACCTTTCGCAAGACACTCGTATAGAAGAAGAGATACAGGCGCGAATTTTGGGAAAGAAGCAAACCCCAGGGTGATTAACAAGCTTTAGTAGCTCAACTTTCATACCCTACGATATGTTCACACAAATATCACCATTCTTGAAATTCTGTTACAGTTGAACTCAGTATTTCTTTGTAAGGACATGTGCATGGGTAGTTAAATGTGTACAAAAGCCTTTAAATAACAATAGTCCTTCAAGAAAAATCTAAATGAGCTATATGGACCATACCATGTCCGAAGCAATATGGATAGAAGTATTGATAATGGGAACCAGCATCATATGAATTTGTAACAAAGCGAGAGAAGACAAGAGGGAAACCAAAAGATATCATGATACGTCGAACTATGTCTCTTCGACATAGAACTATCGAATAGAAAAGTTGGTCAAAATACACACTCCGATCGCCTTTAGCTCTCAAATGGGTTTTCACAGGTGACAGGAAATTAGTTTCCCCGCACACCTTGTCTATTCATTATATGCGTAAAAAATAGCCGGGACCGTATACAGAGCGAAGTCAGAGCATAGCTCGCTAAATCGGTGTAGGACTTGCGATGAAGTTAATTTGGATGAGTATCCCACGGGGCGGGCATATCGTATTAAAGGCCCTGGTAATGATGAACGGGTCCTGGTCCGCCAAGCTTGCCAATGGCAAACAAAACGGCGTTTGGTTGGGAGCCGGCATCGCTGCGTTGCAAATAAGGAGCCCCAGAAAAGCTAGCACCCGAGGGATGCACACATTGACGGGGAGTCCGGCGCAGGACCGATTTTCATGATGTGTTTGCCCAATCAATTCAGACGGACTACGCTATGACTGAAATGGCGAGCTTGACGTCAATTGAGCCCTGGCTCAGATCGCTTTGGTGGTGACATATGGTGGATGCCGACTTCTTGGCAAGGAATCACCAGGACGTCTAATAACTTTGGGCCGATACAATTGCAGGCTGCGGCAATTAGCAAGTGAACCGAAAACACATTCAAGAGGGGAGTATTAGAACACAAAGCTCTCGGCGTTGTTGCACAGTGCAGAAGTGGTTTTTCTTGGCGGAAAGGAAACCAAGCAAGGGAGAACTTACAGGACTGTTGAGCATGCTGTTTCGTTTATTCCGTCCCTTCTTGATATGGTTCTTCAGTGCGGTAGAGTCCAACGGTTTCAACAACTCGAAACTGCAGAGGAGTTCGTCCGAGACTGACATAATCGCTCCCCAGTTGTCAAACTCTCCACAGTACTGCAAAGGCCGTTAGTAAATGCTAGTGGTTCACTTCAAGCTTACACAATGCAATAGGAGCGGCTAGGGAATTACTCACGTTAGGGGCAGAAAATACAGTGACTAGAATGCGATCCTGGTAGAACTCATAACCGTCCTCAACTACCATGTGGGCTCGGCAAACCAAGTCGAAGTCATGCCGTTGCAAGAAATTCATGATCACTTTCTTACCGAAGCAGTAACTTACGCCACGCTCATTAGGCTCCCAATCCTCCTCCATGTCGGCCGGATCACTCCAGAGAAGGTCGTTAAGCAACCCGTAGTCTGGAACGTCAGTCGGACGTGCGATTCCCCTGATATCGTCCATATGGGAGAGACTGGGTGAAAGTCCACCATGGACACAGAAAATTTTGCCAGCTACGATAGAAGCGATCGGCAAGCAGTTGAACGTATCGATGAAGGTCTTCCAAATCTTGATGTTGCAACGCCGCTTACATTCATCATAGAACCCGTATACACGGGTAACGTTGGCACATTCATGATTGCCTCGCAGAAGGAAGAAGTTCTCGGGATACTTGAGTTTATAGCACAACAGAAGGAGAATTGTCTCCAAGCTTTGCTTGCCCCGATCCACATAGTCACCAAGAAAGAGGTAGTTCGAAGAAGGGGGAAATCCACACATTTCGAACAATCTGATCAGGTCGGTATATTGACCGTGAACGTCGCCCACAATCTTTACAGGAGCCGACAACTCTAAGAGTGCAGGCTGACTGAGGAATAGCTCCCGAGCCGCAGTACAGATGGCGGTAATCTCTGCATTCTTAAGACAGACAGTCTTCGTGACCTTAGTTGAATAACCAGCATCCAGCAGACGTGTGATCATGTCATCTAGGTCGATAGACTTAAGAGCGCCCATTCCCATTCCTGGAGATGAGGAAGTATCATTCAGAGGTGTGTTCATGATAAAATCCAGGATTGGATTCAGCTGGTCCTGCCGCTTGATAAGAATAGATTCGCCGACTTTCTGTGAAGATCCCGTTGGTGCAGCACCGGTGGGAGGTGCATCTGACACGTGGTCGACCTCACCGCTTTGCTGCATCGCATCTACATCCTTGTGGCCTCGTTTCAGGCTGCTCGACAAGGTGGGAGAGGGAGGTGGATCAGGGGCATCGAGTTGCGAAGCAGAGTCATTGGCACCAGGGGATTGGGCACTCAGGTTGGTGGAGCTTCTCCTACTCCCCGTCGACTTGATCGACCCGGCATCGGACCTATCCGTTTGGCTTCCCGTGGACAGAGCTGAAGTGGATGCGCGAGGACTATCACTGCTACGGATCTTAGACCGAATCGAGCCCCGAAGGGACCGAAGAGACTCCTTCGTGTCGGAGCGTGAGAAGGATGGGTAGGACTGCAGAGAGTCGCCAGGGCCAGAATTGCCCTTGGAATGCGACTGACCCATTACTGTAGGGCTGGATGTCTGCCAAGCTCAAGAGGTGGACAATTGACGAACACTATACGTCAAAAGATGAAGGACCCAAGGCTCTGCTTGGCGTTGGAATGCTGGCAGCCGTCTTGGCTGTTGTATAGTTCCAACGGCTTGCAAAAGTTATATAAAGGGAGGACGAGAACTGCCGTTTGGAAACCAGGAGAGGAAGTTATGTTCGTTAAGAGAGATAGAAGGGACTGCCGGGGCAGCAGGATCAGGTTCAATGTAGGTTACTGCTGGAAGGGTATAGCCGCGGTAGCCGATTCCAGCGGTGAGGGCGAAGGTAGGACAAGCGAAATCAACAGGTCCGGTTGAGGATTTAGCGAGGTGATGATGGGGAATCGACGGAGGGGAGAGCGACGGTATCAGTACACAAGCCACCGGCGAGCTAGTTAGCCGGAAGGGAAAGTTCCGATTCGCCCGAAGTAAGCTTCTGCGATGCGACGGTTAGCGATGTTGATATCGTGCAACACACGGGACCGACAGTGGGTGTGGTGCGCACAGGTGAAACTGAAGATCGGGAGTGGTATGTGGAGGCAGGTGGAAGGGAGTCAGAATGGGAGAGATTTGGGTTAAGTTGGTGGAGGGGAGGGGGAAGAATGATAGGGTGTGAGAGGAAAAAGAATGCGTCATTATGGGGGGTGGGCAATAGAATGGAGAACGATTAATGGACTGATTGCACCCATGACAAAACCCGTTATTAACTTACCTAGATGTCACTATTGTAAGCGATAGTAACGATCTGCAAGAGAGAGGAGGGGGGGGGAAGGAAAATCAAAGACAAGAGCAAGGAAACCGTTCAACGGGGTTGTTGTAGCGAAGCAGGTGTGAGGTTGCAGAACGCAGGCTAACTTTTTGATCGGGTTCTCGCCTCAAACCCCAGGCTGTCGCTTTTGGTCTCGATCCTGCAGCAACGGGTGTGGCATGTCCGGATCATCTGCCGGCCCGAGGGAGCTCAGCTGTTTGCCTTCGTGGCCTGAAGATGGGATTGGTGCCTAGCAGTGGATATCGGTGGAGCTACTAAAAGAACTCACCCTCGTCATGAAGAATTTATATCCACCTTTTTATCCATGGAGAATGGCAATAATAAGTTAGGGGAATAAATAAATAAAAAAAAGAAAAGAAAAGAAACGCAAGAAAAGAAGAGAAAATCAAATCAAATCAAATCAAATACAGGTTGAAAAAGAGAGAGAGAGAGAGAGCTAAAAAAGAAAATAAACATTATCTCCCCATTCAACGTTCAATCACTAATTTAGTATTGCCTCCCCCTCAGCCTATGAATGAGCCTCGGCCAACGCTCGTGACTCTTGCAAGTGGGAAGGGAATTTGACACAACTTAGCACAGACACTCCGTTCGCATGTTCATTCCCCCTCCTCGTGCCTCTTGGCTCCGGCTCCGGCTCCGCTTTCAAGCATTATAGGGCATTTAACGTGACCGCATCCATGGAATTTTTGTTTCTGTCTGCAGACCAGAACGAATCAGTGGATTACAGAATCATAGTGATGGCCAGCCTCGTGCATCTTCCGCAGTTACCCGACTTTCTCGCGTTGTTAGCCTTGATAATCAATTTGACTGATCAGAAAGATAAAGGTTGCAAGTTTCTAGATATATCTGGTGTACCATCATGATAATGCACCCTTTATTAATAGGGTTTTTTTTTTGGATCGCAGCCTTAGTATATCTACTAAGGAGCTCTGCGAGATAGCCTTTGAGCAATCAACGGAAGAAAATAACCAAGTCTTTGCAGTACGAGGGCTCTGGACCCCACCGACTGCAGGAACACCGCCACTTCAATACCCAAACACCGCTCATTATAAACACCACAGTGACTACCGCTGCCAAGGTCACAGACTACGCCAAGCACCAAGAATATTTCTCCTTTTTCTCCTAGCCACGTTGTGGAGGGTTTTAGGTCGTATATCTTAAGTTCAGCCTTTGGCGATATAAGGACGCGGTAAAGGGAAAAAATTTCCCAGCCAAGGATATCCAAGTAGGATTCGCAGGCCGATGTTGCCAGACTTGCATTAGTAGCGCAGTTGACCGCTTGTTTTCCAGGTGTTTTCCTTCATTATTATTCGATATTAATGTGCCATGCCGGCCGAATCGGAACTGAAGGGAGGCTTGAGCTTAGGGTCTGGAATCAACGGCTTGTAGTGGAGAGTTGCCTTTATGATTTTTTGAGCGTTTCCCGCACGCGACTTTGCTGAGGGGTCTCCTCCAACTCGATCTTCGTGATATGCTGGCCGGGGACGACCACAAGACCAATAAATCGACTTGTCATATTCACTTTAACATTCTGGGATGCTGCGCCTATCGCGGAGTCTTGATTCTCTGCGTCAGTGGCAGCATCTCGAACTGCCGATGGGCTAGGGAAGCGATATTCGTACGTGCTTGCGAGGATAATATTTCGCGCCTAGATACGTTCCGCAGTCAGCAATCATCCTGGTCTTCGTATTCCTTACTTTCTTTTTTTGTTTTTTTTTTCGTCGGATCGATAATCAGATAATGGTTTGCACAGGATCACTTACTGAATCTGTACACTTGAAAGCGCCCACGAAAATGCGCGTGTCTGTCGCGTGGACTCGTAATGTTTGGCCAATCAAGGATTCCAAATACTGAACGGCTTGGTTCTCATCCATGGTGCCCTTTTCGATTCAACCAACCTGTAAGAAAGTAAGATCGGCCACTAAAGAAAGACCGCCGCCCGGTCTGGGCTGTTCTTCGCAGTGTTGTTGAAGACAACTAAGAGGTAACAGGCGGGGCACCGGTGCTAGGCAAAAAGGATGATGATCTCTAGCAACGCTAATGATTCAGTTGGTTGTACGAGTTCTGGGGCCAAGCGGCCTGTCGGACAGTAGGTCCAGTGTTGAGTTTCGAGAGCCGCCCGCGCACGCGAGAGTAGCATAGGCTCCCCGCAATTACGATTACGCATGTGACATACTAGGAAACACTTAATCCGGAACACCAACAGAGCAAGTGACTTTCAACCCATGAAATAAACAAAATTCAAACCTCATTGGCCCGCACTTATTCTATGTGCTACTCAAGTTCGTGTCTTCTGACTCTCCTTGCTCATGCTCAAAATGAAAGTAAATCAAGGTGCCCTGTGAAATTACGTAGCACTTCCTGAACACCAGAAAAGTGTGATATGGGAGTTTATTCATCCTTGATGACTAGGATGTATATGCTTCCCATGGATTTTGCTTTGAGTAAAGGAAATGAACCATGCCAGTGAGATACAACTAACCGAGGAAATGCAAATTTGTTTATATTAGATCCGCCCCCAGCATTCAATTGACCACGTCATTTCGACGCAGGACATGCTTATAGATATATTGTATTAACCTTGCAGAATGGCTTAAAACATCGACATCAATCACGAATATATATGGAAATAACTCCAACTATGACCAGCAATCGTTGGTTTTTCCGGGAAACGCGTATCGTGGGAAAGAATCAATCGTCAGTGGGTATAAAGTAATATGAAGGAATCTAGCATAGGGCATTGGCAATCAGATGTCATATCACAGCCAACCCGATCCTCCATTCCATCTGTTGGAGTTTTGGACAGACTCATTGCTTCCGGAGTCCATTCGCGCCTCCGTATCAGCCGTGGTATCTTGTGAGGATGTGCTAGCCGCATTACTACCGATCAAGGTGACGTTTGAAAGAGTGTCAATGTCGTGGCGTTTCAAGAAACCGGTATTGTTTCGAGGAATATTGTCCGTTTGTTGCTTCATATGGTTTGGACCGGTTTGGAAAGATAACGGACGGGAGGGTTGGAAGAATTTATGCAGTGTTTGTTGTCGTGGATCGGCAATTTCTGATGGAAGAGAGTCTGACTCCATGTCCTTGTCTATCGTTTCGTCCGCATAAGCAATCGGTCCTTGCTGCTGCTGGGCAGTGAAGAGCCAGCGGAGCGTATTGTCTAGCATTGTTAGCCAAAGCTCGACACAGGCCTTGCTTTAGGTGCAAAATACACACCATATACAATTTTATCATCCGGGCGATCATTCCTATAGCGCTTCCGTGTCCGACTATTGAGATGTTTAGGGGTGTCGTCCATCATCAATGACCGTCCTGCGATGACTGGTGCCGCATCAGGAGAATATATTCCTGAGAATGAAGCCTTGCGCTTGAGCGACATTTTCGGTTGATAGCCGTCTCGGGCTCGCGAGGATGTCAATGAGGTTGGAAATTGGAAGTTGGAAGCCGTTGATTAATGTGGAACGTTTGAAAGGCAAATATTTGACGGACAACCCCGACTTATGTCAGTTTAGGGCTTGACTCTTGATTGCATTAATGAGTATAACAAGGTATTGTCCTTGCAGGAGCACGCGAGGGGGGGAGATCTGACTGCACGATCAAAAGATGGATTCAGTTGAAGGCTAATAACAGGGCTGGGTTCAGCCCTTTAATGTGGTTGGTTGAAAGCGCGTCGCGTACGTTCCTGGCGTAGCGTTACGGTCCAAAAACTATGCGCTTTTCCATATTCGGCTTAATTGGTATCACTGGCTGGAAATGGGTTGCTCTCCAGCTAGTATGACCATCTACCCCCGAACAGGCTATGCTATTTAGTACATAGTATCGCAGTGAGATTACTTGTTGATTGGGGATTGGGGAGAGTAATAACCAAGGTCTTCTCTACCTTAATGTTGGCTTCTAACTACGTGATTACGTTAATATTGGCAGAACGCTTTTATCTTGTTAACCTCGATTTCAATGAAGTCAGGCCGCAGTGCAGCTCATGACTTCCTCCTTTCTACTTCTGTATCATTATCAATTTGGGCTATTTCTCACCATGTGTGACTTCTGTCCGGTGTTGAAGCTTTGCAAGCCTAGTCACCTGTGCTATGGTAGGGGGGAAAATGGAAGAGGGAATACAGTCTACTAACTTGGCTGTGTAGAACTTAATCCAGATCAATAGCGAATATCTCTCTGTAGTGGATATTTATTCGACATTTCACCATGGACCTATGTTTGTAATGTTCATGCTTCCATCAGTCGTACTGCTAAGTGGAAAGATCGGCATGCCGCCTTCGATCTCGGCATACCGCGGCGTCATGGTGAACCTTAGGCACTCCACTTAATGACGAGTGAGGTCCCGCTTCCCCGCTTCTATCCTACGAGTATCAAGCAACAAAGGTCAGTCATTACTACGCAGACAACTTCATCACTACAGCCCCATATTGTATTGATTGCCCTGCCCTGCCCCTTTTTATACAAAGCCATACAGTATGCAGTCACGGGAAGCTTCCCATGCCGGTTCCTGGTATTCTGATAGCCAACGCACTCTAACCCGTCAACTTGATGGATGGCTCGCCCAAGTTCCAAATAGCATCGAGGGCATAGGTTCCCTGCCAGTACCTGGTGCGCGAATAGTAATTGCTCCGTATGTACAGGAGAATTTCTCTGCACCACACACTCTCAGTTTGTATGCTGATCCTTCAGGCATGCGGGCTATGCATACTCTGGGCCCTGTGCCGCCTATGCATACAAGGCTCTGGATCTTTCGAAGGTGTACGTACCACGTCCCTACCCGAACTTGGACTTGCTCTAAGCTCTAGTGAAACTAGCAAACGAATTTTTATTCTTGGTCCATCTCACCACCATTACCTCTCGACCCTCGCTCTTCCTGAACTTACTTCGTACTATACCCCGCTTTCCGACGAGCCTCTTCCACTTGACACGGAACTTATCGCGAAGCTACTCTCAACCAAAGCAGTCAAATCTAACGGATCTACTGTTAGTTTCACAACTATGTCACGATCTATCGATGAGGAAGAACACAGCATAGAACTCCATTTACCATACATCCATCGTCTTTTGCAGCTTCACTTCCCACATAAACTCACCTCCCAATATCCACCGCTTGTACCGATCATGGTTGGAAGTACTTCGTCTTCTACTGAGAGTGCTTTTGGAGCCCTTCTGGCTCCGTATTTGGAGGACCCCGCCAACGCTTTTGTCATAAGTTCGGACTTCTGCCACTGGGGTCTGCGTTTCCGTTACACGTACTACGTTCCTCAGGCACCAAAGCCGGGGCCAAAGCTCCCACTGTCCGCTAACTCTTTACCTCAACCAGGAGATGATCTCAGTAGTGTAGAGGAGAAAATGGAATCCGTATCTGCCGGCCAGGCTTTACAGCGGCGAGATCGCATCTCAAGTCGAGAACCAGCGATCCATGAGAGTATCTCGGCCTTTGATATCGCGACTATGGCAGCCATAAGTACTGGGGGTACCGCTAATTTCTTGGATACCATTCAAACGACTGGCAATACAGTTTGTGGCCGGCATCCAATTGGCGTTATCATGGCTGCAATTGAGGAAATCACGAGCCAGGAGGAAGGAAAGAAGGGTAGATTCCATTTCGTGAGATATGAGAGAAGCTCGGATGTAGTTGATGTTGATGATAGCTCCGTGAGTTACGTCTCTGCATTTGCTGTGCTATAACCTGCTTGGCTCTCTCATTTTCTTTTTGTTCCCTCCTGTTCGGGATTCATTACCTTCTCGTATAGTTAAGCATGTCTATCATATTGCTTTGGAAGAACGCGACTATACTATGTTACCTTGTGACTACGTGACTAAGGTTGCTGGTAGCGATTGATTACGATTTAGTGGGCATGTAACCCTCTTCACACCATCATACCTTAGCACTGACACTGTCGGTTGTTAGACGTCTTTCGCCCAGTGCTCCCCATACTTCCCCTGTCATATATAGGCATCATTGGTCCAATTGCACCGCTTCTTGCCATTGCTTTCTCTGGATAGTCTGTCTGTGTGACGGGAATGCTGCCTAAGAGAATGCAGAGTCATTCCGTCCCTAAGGATTGATAGGGAGGAAGAAAGGTGTTCCTCCCGACGACTGACCAACGGCTACCCACTTTTAACTTACCTAACTCCAAGCCCTACTATTGATACTTGGATCTGCTGGTGAACATGGTGAATGAAGCCACATTGTTTGACTGGCTTTGGAGAAAAGGTAATAAACTTAGAGCTACTAGTAGAAGAACCCGAGAATCACATGGCCTGATTATCAGCGCATAAACATCGAATGTTACACTGCAACTATGCGAGAAGTTTGCCAACATTGCGTCCCTACGCGGGATGACCAGTCGCATTCAATACCAGCCCGAGGACGCGACGAAAAGCCGCAACGGCGAAGCACCGGAGTAGTCTTCTTATAGATGACGTTATTACCATAGTCCTCGACTGTCTGGTGATGCCATCGCGTGGCTGGTTTGCTAGGAATTTTTTACCCCGCAATTTCGATTTGCGATATTAGAAACCTGATATCAAGGAATCGATTAACATATGGAGCCAATACGTCGCAAGTGGTCCTCTTATGCCCAATGTACACAATTAGGTGTCTGTGCGTTTCTCGAATTCTTTTCGCTGTCATGTGTCCATCCCGGCTGCTCGTTCTACTCATTTTCTGGTGGACCACAGAGTGGAAAGGAACGCCTCAGCTTTATCCTGGACCAACCAATTGAAGGGGGTAATCTATAACTTGACTGGAATGTTACATCCGAGATGATCGACGTTAGGGCTTATGGATTGTTCTACAGAGTAGACATACACATCCTTCTAGGGTCGTGCACTCTCGGATATACCCGTAGCATCGAAAACGTTATTATACGTGAAGCTCGATTTCGCATGATTTGAGAAGCAAAGTGGCTTACTTTTATTCGTTTGACTTCAAGCCACGCCTGACTGTAACCGTCAACTTGCCTACAACGACTCTGCCAATAGCGATGTGGCCCAGCATGCCAATGGGTTACTACCTCAGCAGCCAGTGTCAGTCCGAGGATAAGTCTGGTGGTGAACACTGACGAGTTTAGGTCTTACATCGCTGATACCTCACAGCGATTTTTGCACCATGTGATGGATATTCAGTTGTTTGTGTTCCAGTTCGAAACGCCTGATCAGGAAGCCCCTTTGTTGGCTTCAAGCCAGGGGGGGAGGTTGTTGTCAAGATAAAAGGGAGGCCACCTAGCAAAGGAATGCTTCAAGTCTATAGCCAACAGGGCAAGAGTGAAATGCGCTATTCAGGACAATGTCCAAAAAGTGACAGTATCTACTGATAATCAAACTATCTACATCTTCATCTTTTCTCCTGCGATCCTTTACTGTCCGTTGTACGATCCGTTGTCCAACTGCCCTGCCTTAGTATATCCCATCGAAATCGGTCTATTTTCGTTCGATTGTTCCCTTTCTCATACTTGTCTTGTCTCCTTTATCCTTTGAAGAAGAGCGACTCACGCATCAGAGGCCATGCTTCCGGGAATACTCTCCTTGGTCCTCGCATGCTTCTTGGCATTGGTCGCTGCCACACCAGTGTCACAGCCTATGGCTGATGATATCGCGGCTGACAAACTCGTGTTTTGTCATTACATGGTGAGTAAGAAGAGAATTCGCAGGCGGAGCCGCAGACCCCTAGTCTAATCATCACAGATTGGAATCACCAGCAACCGCCAAAGCGCTGCCGACTATGACGACGACATGAAGCGTGCGAAAGCCCTGGGCATTGACGCATTCGCGCTGAATATCGGTGTAGATCCGTACACAGATGCTCAGCTTAGCTTGGCCTATGAGTCTGCCGCAAAGAATGACATGAAGGTCTTCTTGTCGTTTGATTTTAACTGGTACAACACCGGGCAGGCCAGCGCCGGGGGCGCAAAGATCAAGCAGTATGCAAGTCTACCAGCTCAACTTATGGTGGACAACAAAGTCTTCGCATCATCCTTTGCAGGCGATGGCCTCGATATCCCTGCCATGCAGTCCGCTGCTGGAGTGGATGTGTTCTTTGCTCCGAATTTCCACCCGGGTGTTGGAGACTTCAATGCAATCCAAGGCGCATTGAACTGGATGGCGTGGGACAATAATGGCGAGAATAAGGCCCCGTCCCCTAGCCGTAACGATACTGTCGCTGATGGCGACAAGGCGTACGTCGATGCTTTGAAAGGGAAGCCATATATTGCGCGTAAGTTCCACTGATGGAATCTTAGCTACTCACGGAACGTCATGACTGACAATCAACAGCTGCTTCTGGTTGGTTCTTCACCCACTTTGGGGGTGAAGTGTCCTATAGCAAGAACTGGGTTTTCCCTTCTGATCTTCTCTGGTATGATCGCTGGCAACAGATCCTGAGCCTCGGTCCTCGCTTTGTGGAAATTGTCACCTGGAATGACTATGGTGAGTCGCACTATATTGGGCCGTTGGCTTCGCCCCATACAGATGATGGGGCGTCCAAATGGGTCATGGACATGTGAGTGGTCTCGGCATCTAAAGTATGAGCACAGACTAACGGTCTATTATAGGCCACACACTGGCTGGCTCGAGATGTCCAAGCCCTTTATAGCCGCGTATAAAGCGGGAGACAAATCAGTCGATAAGTATATCACAGACGAAAAGTTGATCTACTGGTACCGACCTACCCCGAGAGATGTTGACTGCGACTCCACCGACACCACCATGGAAGGAAGTCCTAATAACTCTAGCGACAATTTTTTCCGAGGTAAACCCAACGGATGGGAAACCATGCAAGATGCAGTGTTCGTCGTTGCATTGCTCAAGTCACCTGCTACAGTTGCAGTTTCATCTGGAAAAAACAGCAAGACATTCGAGGCTCAGGCCGGTGACAGCGCCTTCACGGTGCCAATGGGGGTCGGTCAGCAGAAGTTTGCAATTACTCGTGATGGTAAGAACATTATGGAAGACACAAGCCTGAAGGATATTGTTGACACTTGTATTTGTGGTATCTACAATTTCAACCCATATGTCGGGACCGTCCCAGCTGAAAGTACCATTGACAAGCTCGAACAAGCTGGCCTTGCAATGCTCAGTCCAGGATTGAATGTACCATGTCCCACAAACACCCTGGGAGCTAGTGGTCCTCGTGTTACTCCCTGAGAGGCGCTTTTCTCTGTCTGGAGAACCATGTTCCACAATTATGCGTTGTTACTGAAGCGCGTTCACTGTTGAACTTTCCGAGGAGTTTCTCACAATTTCTCAGGCATTGGTGATATACATGAGTGTACATAGTAAGAGCATCACTCATGCCAGTCATTCTCTACGTGAAGGGTAGCTTACTGAAATGAACGCTCGTTATACATTAAATTGAAGCTGCCAACGCATGTTTTTTTTTTGTTGCTATGGCCTTTCAAAGCGAATCGCAGATCAGTTATACCTCAATCTAAGCCCAGCCTTTCCAACTCACTTGTACAAAAGAGAAACTCGGCAAGCTACGGTGAAAGACGCACTTTGATTTGAAGAAAGAAGATCGAGAACGAACTTGTAATCATTCATTACTATCGATGCGTTGTCATAATAAGAAAAGCATATCATGCTTTGATGATAAAGACCTTACGATAATTGATCTATTTTCCCCGTGACTATTAGAATAAAGGACTGATCTATCAGGCCCCCGGCACTGGGGCAAGATGATTGGCCTGAGGCTTGTCTTTTGTACGTACGTGAATTCCATCTACTATTTATCTAATCTGCCCGCCGACGATAAGCATATCTTCTTCACCGACTCTTCTACTACGTATTATTTGTCTGTCCCAATTCCGCTATGAATCATACTTCTACCATGATTTCTAAATGCTTTGATAGTATTAATATCGTGTCCGGACCCCCGATCTGACCTTATATCTTTAAATCGCGCGCTTACTATCGGTACTAATTTCCCCTCACTCGTTAGCCACATACACTCCGACAGTTCCATCTCGCGTGATTGACTTCCTCGTTTCTGCTATCTGATCCGCACTGGTCAGCTGGCTGTTCGTTATGCTAGTACTTTATCCTCGGCTACTACTCCATTGACTTTCTGGCGGTTGTGTCGTTCGTCAAGACCATGATCTACTAAAATGTCGCCGGACAAGTGAATGGTCGTCAGCATTGGTGGATATTCATATCATATATACTCATTCATTACTCTTTGGCATCCAATAATTATTTAAGTACATCTCTACAAGCATCCAGGCGGATGGCGAGGATCAAAAAAGGAGTGTTTTCTTGGGAGGACGTGCTGGCTCAGCGGTATCAAAGTAGGTGATTTTTCATCTCCCCATACAACCCCCTTCATGCTCAACTACCGAGCTTGCATTGTACATGCATACTATGACTACGTGCTAACCTATGAAGATAACAAACCGACCGCATTGCCCAGATCCAGAAGAGCCAGCGCGATTTCTGGTCGGGCGCAAACTGAGAAACGGTCAAGTCCCGCGTCAGAAGGGACTGTACAGGTACAGAGCGACCTGTTGGCGAAGTTGTCTCCTGAGCTCCGCCTCATGATCTGGGAGATGGTCCTGGGTGGAATGCGTATACATATTGTACAGCGGCCCGATCGCCGAATGAGCCACGTGCTATGTCCTCTTACGAATACCTGCGACATCTGTCGGGGGGATTTGCCGCAGCCGGTAAAGGGCAGGGCTCGAACGATCGGTAACCTGTTGGCGCTTCCGATGACCTGCAGGCAGATGTAAGTTAGCTCTTGCCTACCATAGTAGCTTGAAGGATATCTTATTGCGTGGGGATATACCTATTGACTATTTCTCTAGTCATTGCGAATCTATTTATATGCTTTACACCATGAATACCTTCGAGTTCAGTAACACTTGGTCACTCACTTACCTCCGTCCGACTATACCCCCGGACCTTTGGGACGCAATCCGCGAAGTTGAACTTCGCTGGGCCTTCCCGGGCCACTGGCTCCCTAGCAAGGACCCCGTCAAGACTGTCTACTTCTCCGCTGGCCGACAGCAGTGGGTTGAGACCTGCAAGGCATTGACGCGGATGAAGGGTCTTCAGTCCTTCACGCTCCAGCTGAGCGGCAGCTGGTTCTGCGAAGCGGTGGAGAAGATCCCAGTTTTCCTGGAACCGTTGCGGGATCTGAATCTAAAGCAAGGGTGGAAGCTGCAGTTACCCGAGCAGCCGTATTATGTCAAGGAGATCCGAAATATAGATGGGGATCTGCGCAGGAGAGGTATTGAATGTTTGGTGCGGGCGGCGTAAACCAGAGCTGTCGCACATGCTACCTTTTATTCCTATATGAGCGTGTGAATTCATTAAAGACCTGGTCCCGGGCCGGTGCTTTTAAGACCATTCTATTATGTTGGTAGGTATATACACTGCAGGTCAGCTGTACACGTCGGCAGTATGCTACGCAGCATACATACCAACGCAAATAGAGGAGCCTTCACACCTAGTCGGCATCAGACCAAACAGACGATGGCTTGACCTATACACAGCACTCATACATCCGAAAGGGGGATATTGACACTCCAGAACGCTCCCCGACTACGTAGTACGTAGTATCAGTATAGTGGGGCAAAAAAGGGGGCTTCTGTATATCAACCGACAGCTATCATAAGCCCACGATGATCCCATCCTAGAGTCCAAGCACGTGCGCCCCGTAATTGGCCCGAAGTCCAAATAGCCTAAATTGCCGGGGAATGAGACGGGATTCTTACCGATATTAATTCATGCAGCCGAGTCAAGGGCAGATAGATGGAGATTCTCTGTGGCCAAGTTTTTGGGGTGTTATCAGATGTTTATGCAGGTAATCGAGTTGCATCCGAGCACCCGCCCAGAGCTGATCGACCGGTGATTCCCGGATTAGGAATATTCTGGTCTCAATACAAACCATATCAGTACTTAAAAAAAACAAGTATTACGAACAAGACTTATAATAATAATAATAATAATAATAATAGATAGTGAGATAGTCCTTTCATAAACGTTCACTAGTCTCTCAGGTTCATAATAGTGCATAGCTAGCAGTTCCCATCCGAACTGACCATTAAGGAACTCCGCATAACTCAATTCAATTCCAAGGGGGAAAAAAATGAAAATCGTCAAGAATCTAAACAACCATCCAACCCTAACCCAGGGAAAAACCAACCACCCAGGCCCAATCCAGTCCAGCCCAGACCATTCCCACCAAGTCAGGAACCACACATACCCTTGTTTCCACCGCCAGTAAGAGAAAAGTCTCCAAAGTAAAAGATGACAATTAAAGTAAAATAAAATTGAATAGAAAAAGAAAAAAAAAAAATCAATCAAGTACTATTAATGTGCATCCTACACAGTATAGCAAGATTAGGTAAAGAAAGGAAGGTAAATAAAAATAAAATAAAGATCACTTTCGGACGCGAAACCCAATCAATCTGGTCGGTCTCAGGTGACCACATCCCAAAACGAACCGGCGCATTGCAGATCGCATTTCTAAATATAGCTATATATAGTACTACTACTAGTACGTACTCCGTAAAACAAGAGGCCACCGGCTCCTAGTCCAGGGACCGACGTGGCCTACCGGACCCGCTCTCAATCGCGGGGGATTAGGGACATTCGATTTGACGGATCATGGCTTGGGATTTTGCATTTCGTAATTAAACTTGTAATGGGGCCCAGGGTCTAGTGGGTTCTCTGTCTTGCCTGTTTGGTATCCTCCTGCTGTCTCGGATTTGCGCTTTCTTTGGGTCGGACTGATTTTGGACCCTGTTTTTATTTCTTTTCCATTGTTTTTTTAATTTACTATAATTTTTTCTTTTTATTTCTGGGGGGTCCATCTTCGTTTGACACTTGGAAGTTTTATGAGGGATCCGTTTTTGGATGTTGCAGGTTTCGTGGTTGGTGGGGATCTTATTTTCTTTCTTTCCCTCGTTTAATTGTAATTTACCTAATGTTTTGTGGTGGAATGTCGGCATGATCACCTGTTGGTGTCTTGACCCTTGTCTTACTACTCGTACTACGTCCTAGAAACGATGCACTGGACTCAACCTTCGGTAGTTCTCGATTCCCGTCTAGGAATGGATGCGTTGTTTTCGCTGGTTAAGGAACTGGTTTATTTGACAAGAGGATCTGAGATCGCCAGGAGTCAGAACAAAAAGGGAAATTGAAAAGATGCCATTTCGTCGAAGCCGACGTGCGACCGAAGCATCCGTGTTCTCATACAACATGGCATTGACTGGCCGACTCCAGTCTTGGCACATCGGCCAAAAGAAAGAGCAGGAAAAAAAAAGGAATTAGAAGAAAAATTAAAATTATCAGAAGACGCCTTTCAAACCCCTGCCGAGTGCCCCATAAAACAAAATATCCAATTAATGCCTTATTTCCTGAAATGCCCGTCATGATGAAATCAAGAAAGAAAAGTTAAAAAAAAAGGAAAAGTAAAAAGAGAGTCGATATTCGACAAAGAATGTGTCGATATGAACCAAAGAAAAATTGAGATGTGGGTATTGTGTAGGTCAATGACCACAAAAGAGATGTATTGTACTTGTAACCAAGGATTGTCTGGGTATAAGTCACGCATCATATAGTCCGTGAGATAGAGTTTGGTTTCAAATGAAACGCTGGACATCGGTCCTAGCAAGTTGTAGATGAGACAGACCCTTCGCCCTGAGTGAGGGGGAAGGGAGTCCGACCGGTAGACAATTCATTTTGGAATGCATAGGATCAATGCGCTGTAACCAGCACGGGTTGATCTACCCTATGATGAGCTGTGCACGTGTAATGTCGAACATAAATCCTATAACAGGCTAGCTGAATCCATCGTGTATCGTGCATTTATCGAAAGTCAAGCATCGAAGCACATTGATCACGTTGTGTCTTATCGGTCGGAGATCTCGTGTTGGTTGTCAATCGGCCGTCAGTGGATTGAGCCTGGGCGACGGTTCGCAAGACGATGAGTTGGTTGTAGACCCTCTGAAATAGATGCAGTGCTACCGTCCACCCTGAGAGTGATCAGGACCAGAATGGCCAGAGTTTCTTTGTCTAGCAGCAAGCCACTCTGCAGCTGCCTCCTGCCGCGAGACAGGAGTCTTTTGCTCGTCCAATCTGCCGGTTGTTTGGTTCTGCGGGAGAAGGTTGTTCAACTCTGCAGCAAGGGCAGAAGCTGTGTAATGGCGAAGTTCTTTTTCCTCGCGCTCATCCTCCTTCATCAGACGCTTTTGGTCGGTCTTGGAGAGGTTCTCCCGACGCTTCCTTCGGATTTCCAGAATCACCCAATGCACGACCTCTTCAGGAGCGCGGTTCCGTGATGCTCCATGCTTCGCCGGGCTTCGTACATATCGGCGGGTGACATCGGTGGCGCCATCAATTGAGAATGCAATGCAATAGGACATCTTTCGGCCCCAGCCTGGAACAACCGTTAGTTTGAAAGCCGAGCAATCGATTGTGGAACACGAACCTTCAGCGTAGAGACGGGGCTGATCCCATGCCCCCTCACAGGCATCTACATGCACCCAGCGCCTCTGATGTTCAGAGTATACTTCAGTCCAGACGTAGTCCTCTGAATTCCATACCCATCGTACACGGCCACCAAGGGCTCTGCAGAACATGCTGAAACAATTGGCCCATTCCCCTACACGGCCCCGGCGGCTTTGTAGTAGTTGCCAAACATCAGAGTAGCGAGGGAATCTCTCGTGGGCGCCGCAAGACATTTCAGAGCATCGGTAAAGTTCTACTCGTGTTGCACCGCGGGCGGTCTCATCGGGTAAAGGTGGTGTATTGCCCTGGGCAATTGTAGGCCGAAAGCACCGTGAGCAAGGGGGGTTGTTGACGAATTGGAAGAACGACCCTTTGAACCATCTGTGAATATCGCGGTTAGCATTTATGGGTCATAATTAATGATATATCTAACAGATAGACATGCTATTAACGCACCTCAAGAGAGACCGGATAACACAATCTTGGTATCCCCATTCGGGCCTGCCACCAACGCTAGCCGCCTGTGCCTGCAAGATCTGACTCTCCTCCTCTGCCTCTGAATATAACCGATCGAGTGGGATAAGGGAGAGGGCTTCATCGAGAAGACCGGGATTCTCATATTTGGTCGGTGTTACAGACAGGACGTGGAGGAGATTGCGGAATTTCAACGACGCTTGATCCTGCGGCGGTGATGGAACAATTGGTAGCCCTTGCAGCATTGGAGATTGAGTTGATGGGTATTGTTGCGGTTGTGGTGGGTATTGGGGTGGCTGAAAAGGTGTTGCGGTTGGCGGAGGTGGTGGTGGTGCTCGCGAGGGATGAGGTGGTGCGTAAGGCCCAGGCGAAGACACCTGAGACGGAGACGGCGATGGAGAATGAGTTCGAGCCCTCGAGTGTTCCTGGAGACGATGGAATCTCTTATTACGCATCAGTTGCTCGAAAGCGTTGGTGAGCTCGGAGGCATCAAAGTTGTTCGAGCCTTGCGCCCGTTGTGAGTGGTGTATGCTGTCGGCCATGGTGGTGTGTAGTAGGGGGGTGAAGGGCACCAACGGCGATCGGTCGGACTTGACACTCCAGGTTGAATAAATCCTCAATGACTCCCTTCGATGATGAATGTTGATAATCCTTTTCTCTCTTATCGAAATGAGAAAGAGAGAATGAAGGATGGGAAAAGGGTGAGCGTGGATGTTGTTGGGTCGAGTCAGTTGTGTAGGTCAAGTAAGAAGAATGATGGTCAGTGAGGTCAGTCCGTAGGGTATAATGGTCGCACAGCCCAACTAAGCGGTCGCCACGCTTGGCGCTGGTCAAACGTAGTCGTGTCCGCGACTTACGACAACCACAAAGGGTGAAAATGGATTAACGAGAGAAAGTGATTGTTCACCAGTCGTTTTGGCCAATACAATTAGAAGGGAAAACAAAAAAAGAGCTTCAGGTAAGTGAAGCCGAGGGGAAAAGAATTAATTAGGTGCGAAAAAAAAAGAAAAAAAAAACCAAATCAAATCAAATCAAAAGAAAAAAAAAAAGATATACCGAGAGGAGAGAGAGGTGAGAAGATCCCAAAAGGGAGACAGAGAGAGAGAGGGAGGGAGGAAGAATGAAAGGGTCGTCAGTCTAGTAAGTGGAGAGGGAGAAAGAGTGGAAGAGAAAGAAGCGCAACTAAACTACTACTAGTTGATGAATTTTCAGGTCATTGGTCTTTTTTCCACGCCAGCAGTGAGGGCGAAGCGTCGTCAGCCTTGGGGTCATTGCCCCAATCAGGGTGCAGCATTTGCACCGCAAGCCGCGTGTGTGCCGCCCCGAAACAGTTAACTGAACCATGGCCAAGACCCTTTCGCTGCCCGCTAGACTAAACTGTTTCCATCTGTAGAACGCTCTGTGTCCCAAAGGATTTGGCAATACACATTTACCACCTCTTGTATCTTCCACCTTCTCTTGGCACGGCAATCAATTTGGTTGTCATCTCCAACTCTCCTAACGGCTTATGCCGACAAAATTGACAGTATTTCACGAGGATAGACGGCGAGCTCCACTAACTTAACGAACGGGAAGCTTTTGAGACGCATTTTCATTCGCATCTGATGGACAATCTCGCTATCGCTCTCCACCGGCTGAGGAGTATGCTGATGAATCTCTTAAAAGCTTGGCCTTGTCCGCGTGGAATTTTATCCTTCTGGATGGTCTCATCCCCTGCGACTCGACATACATGACTACGCAATCCACCTAGTCTTTGATAAACCCCAACTTGTTATCACCCGCTGCTTGTGATACGTACAGTACATGCCGTCCAGCTTCAATCCATAGAGGGGTTCATAGAAGACTTATTTTCTCCATCTGGTGGTACAGCTCAAATGACCTCGTCTAGACGTCAGCTCGGTCTTACGCGGCTCTCTGATCAACAGACTAAAAATGTCACCATCGTATCCTTAGGATGCGCAACCGTGCACGTTAGACAGCACGCGGTGCCATTTAGAGAACTCTCGGGGAACCCTCTCGGCACACTCGGCGTTAAACTTGGGGAACCTGACAATTATCGCCCTTTCTGAGGGGAAGAAAGAGGGCAAAATGGACCCTCTTCTAGATCAATCAGGAAATTCAAAAGGGCGGTTTGAACCGTAGCCTTACGAATGTCATGACCCATCACCAGAAGAAATCTTAACCACAGCCTCTAGCTTAAGTACCCGCTTCCCTCCTTTGCTGACGAATTATCAACTGTGGATATAACTAATAGTTAGAGATATGATCTTATATAATCCCAATATTGAGCTAGCCAAAGATGTCTTAATAATTGAACGACCATTGGAAAACCATTGGAAAAAAAATTTTTCCCATGAGCATACGCCATCATCTACATAGTCTTGGGGCAATCAATCAGGTCTGTGCCACGCCAGCTGGCTAGCCAGTTAAGTCAGTACAACTGGTAAGGCGATGATCGTGGTGATCTTCTGATGAGAGCCACACTTCAAATCAAGGGGGTATGATCCCTAATTACTGAGCTTAATCGAAATTCTTTAAAATTACCTTTCTTTCCTTTCCTCATGCTTTTGGATTACAATATTGGCCATTAATTATACAACACACGCTGTATAATGATGTATGGAGTACGGACAATACCTATACCCAGACGCTGTATGTACATTTAAAAGGACCTGCTGTGTCGCTAAGCCAAGTGCATACGCGGCTTTCTGCACTCTGATGAATGCATCTCCACTTGATTGACAGTTGTTAAATGTATGCTGTGTCTTGGAAAAGCCCCTCTCTGTGAATTGCCACCAACCTAACAAGAACTTTTCTCAACAAGGACTTTTACAACAATCATGTATGTATGCATGTAGGAGTGTACATACTTGGGGACAAGTTCGACCAGGTTCTAGGGCATAACTGAAACCATTTCCAACTCGATTCGGAAAATAAGGGCCAAACGACTCGGTGTTACAGGATTACGGCAGCCTTCCAAGATAGTGGCGGAGACGCGCAAGCGTCCGCCTTGGCAGAAGGACAAGATCTGGCTAGAGCAGCCCAGGGACCCACCATACTAGACCCCTTTCTGACAGATGACCAGACGTGACAAGAAAGCCTAGTCCCAGACCCTGGCTGTCCAGGGGGCTTGGCATGGATACCTCATCCGCTCTTGGAAGCTTTCTTCGACGATTCTCCCTCTGCTTTTCCCTTTTTGATTTTTTGACTTTCCCGTCCCCCAGGTTCAGGGTCCAATCCCTAGTCACTCTGTCTATTCTTTCTCCCCCCTAATGTCTTGATCTACAGTTCGTACCCCGTATTTAGCGCCGCGATATTCATGCTCAAGGTTGAACGACAAGATAATAGTACGGAGTAGCAGCATGATTGAGAGTGTTTGTCCGAGGAGGACGGTGGAACCTAGTCCATGACCAAGCCACAGAAAGCATGCCATCTCCCGGGTAAGTGAGGCTTGACCAAACCGACCTCGAACTACTGGGAGATCCGCATTCCATAGCGGTCTGGAAAACGTGATTATCGATTTCCCATGCCTACTGAAGTAAAAATCACGGTCCATCGGCTTGCCAGTGGGAACCTGTGTGAAGCATAATTCCTACTGAAAGAAGTTAATTGCATTCTGCGCCGAGTGGATTCGACAACGTCTCACAGGGGTACTCGTACGCGGTGGCCATTGTCCATCACTACTCTGTAAACTCACAGTAGTCGGTTATCAGTATCATTGGCTTGGTTCTCGCTTTGAGGAACTGACACAATGGTGGGAAGTTGCTTGTTGAGACGGGATATGCTACGCCCACGTCATTCCTGGCCACAAGCCGCGTACCCTTACCTTGGTACGACGGACAGTAACTTCCTATAATGCGGAGCACTTCTCTACAGGGGAAGTAGATGGCACATCTTTTCCAAACGGATGATGTTCACATTATCTCACGACTACATCAGTCCACGTTTCTGACCTCTCTGACCGATAGACTTCGTGATATAACCCTATCTTATCATGTGTTTTTGTAACTCAATCAATGACTCTGGACAGCCAAGACATCGAGATGTATGTCTCTGAACAACTAAGTTAGAAGATTGAAAGGTCAACACTGAGCAAAGTTCACCGACCGTATTGCAGTGATCAGACCTCCTGCATGAAAATCGTGTGATGTTACCCCGCAATCTTGATAGGACTACTCTTATGTAGCACGTTTACAACTATCCATTAGCGTGCCGTAAAGCTTCCATTTAAGGTAGACTTTCACCTACTCCAGTGTAAATCTAACGGGATCATAATCATGATGTAATGATAGACATAGCTACCAAATAACTCGAAAGAGAATGTCGATCGCTGAGGATCTGTCGGATAGTCCAGAGTAACCAAGAACACAAAGCAAAAGGATGAAGGGTAAATACAGTACTCCGAGTACTCCGTATCTCGGTCTTATTAATTCCGTCTTATTGAAGCATCTTGAGATACCAAACAACGTATGGCGCGTAATGCATATCGACTGTCGATGCTACGATGTTACCATAGCATTTTGTGGCGCAGCATTAATCAGCTCGGACCCCCGCAAACCCGAGGTGACTAATGTTCGGCATTGCCAGAAAGCTGACTAACTCCCCCAGCCAATAGGATCCCCGGGTTTAGACATCTACTAGTACAAGGACATAGGTAGTATGGAGAACATGTTGAGAGTACAATATAGGACATACAATGTAGGAAAAACGGATATATAAGACTACGAATAATTCATGCCGTTGGATCAGAATTCGATTGATCAGGGGAAAAAACGCCAAAGCCCTGGAAACTGATAGCAACTCATACGAGTACTAGATATCAACACTCAACAATCATCAGTCACCGAGAACTACTGCCAACATGTCCAAGCTGATTACTGTCTTCGGTGCCACTGGCAATCAGGGCGGCTCCGTGATTAACCATATTTTGGCTGATTCTCAGCTCTCCAGAGAGTTCAAGATTCGAGGCATCACTCGTGATACCACCAAGCCCGCCGCCCAGGAGCTGCAAAGGCGTGGAGTGGAAGTCGTTACAGTCAGTCTGCAAGCCCCTGTATTGGCTCAGTCGAGCCTGCAAGGCTCATAAATAACCTCACACAGGCTAACCTGAACTCCGTCGAATCCCTCCGCACAGCTCTTAACGGATCCCATACTATCTTCCTAGTAACTAACTACTGGGAATACGTCGACAAGGACACCGAAATCAGCCAGGGCAAGAACGTCGCCGATGTAGCCAAAGAGCTCGGCGCCCAGCACCTGATCTTCTCTTCTCTTGTTCACGTTACCGACTCCACCGGTGGGCGACTCAGCCATGTACCCCATTTCGATGGCAAGGCTGAAATAGAAAGATATATCCGTGCTTCGGGTGTTCCCTGCACTTTCGTTCTTGCGGGTTACTTCATGCTCAATTACCTGCAAATGCTGAAAAAGGGCGATGATGGCACGTATCAGCTTTTCTACCCTGTCGATGGTGCTAAGGCTAAGTTTCCTCTGTTTGATGCCGCGAGTGATACCGGTAAGTTTGATTCTACTGGTCCTGGGAAACTAAAGAAGATTTTCAGTGTATCTAACCACAATCAGGGCTTTTCGTCAAAGCCGTCATTAAACATGCTTCTGAACTGAACGGGAAGCAAGTTCTCGAAGCCGCCGGCTACTATACCGCCGAAGAGATTGTGACAATCTTTACTGAGGTAACAGGAAAGCAGGCTGTCTTTGTGTCGGTATCCGCCGATCAATATAAAGCGGTTCTCCCGCCACCCGTGGCTCAGGAGTTCCTCGAGAATCATCTACTGATTGAGTCGCCTGGGTATTTTCTCGGGCAAACCTTGGATGAGAGCTTGAAGTTGCTTGACGCTAAACCAACGTCTTTCGCCGATTTTGTTAAGAAAAATGTGGATGCTTGGCAGTAGATATTTCGCTGGGAAAGATTTTCGGTACCATTAAGTGGATAATTCTTATAGCTCCTATAGCTAGGTTTCAGGAAATCCATGTTGCTCTATTCTTTCCTACTCCTATCTAAGTGGTTGCACTTGGCTTGAGATATTGAAGCCTTCGGAATTATGAAAGTTCAACACAAATGATTGATTCGTGTATTCATTTATAGTATGACTGCCGCTAACACCCAGCCGCTGTCATTACGGCTATCTAAGCTGAATTAAACATAACTGTTGCTAAGCCTCGTCAGAATGTCATTAGATCTATGTATTAGAATCGATGCTATGCCATCACGAAAAGAAACATAACCGTCACGCTTGACTGTACCCAGAAAGACTGAAGATAACGAAGGAAAGATAGATTTTAGGATATCAAGATGAGCATTGAGCCATCTCGGCCACAAACGACTGACCCCAGAAAGCACTACGCGATGTTAGTACTACCGAAGAAAAACGATCCCAACCGGGTATAGGCATACCTTGTGTATTTTGAGATGTACTTGTAGAGCTTTGCAAATTGAACGGCGCGCTGTTCTTCGCTAATTGAAACTGCCTCATGATACGCCTCTGCTAGCTCCTCGGTGTTCCACGGATTGACAACAATGCTTCCGTTGAGGCTCTGGGCAGCACCGGCAAATTCAGACAAGATGAGAACGCCTTTGCGCTTCTGTTGAGTTGCGATGTACTCGAAGGATACCAAATTCATTCCATCGCGAGTCGAAGAGACAACGCAGGCATCTGATGCCGCATATAAAGCAATGAGTTCGTCGAAGCTCACCGACTTGTGCATGAAATGTATAGGCATGTAGTCCACCGTCCCTATTGTTCTGGTTAGTGTGGGACTGTCGTAGGAGTGTCACAAAGACGTGGCTTACCGAATTTGCCATTGATTCGGCCCACTAGCTCATTCACTACCGCTCTTAAATTCTGGTATTCTTCGACATCCTGACGACTTGGGACAGCCACCTGAACCAGGACGACCTTACCAACCCATTCTGGATGGTTTTGAAGAAAGACTTCTAGGGCGTGTAACTTCTGAGGGATGCCCTTAATGTAATCCAGGCGGTCAACGCTGACCATCAATTTTGTTCCCTGAAATTTATTCTCCAGACTCGCGATGCGATTTTGCACCTTCGGGCTCTTCAAGCCTTCAGTGAACTTGTCGGGGTCGATTCCAATGGGGAAAGCCCCAACATTGATAGACCTGCCTTCGTATTTTACGCTGCTAGGGGTCGTCACCAATCCGCTAGTGTGACCTGTCAGCTGGTGCATACTCAAATAGAGAAGGTTCTTGTTATACATACAGTATGTGAGCACAGCTGCTTAAGAAGTGACGCGCGTAGTCATAGGTATGGAAGCCGATTAAGTGACAATGCAGCAAACCTCGCAGAAGTTCGGCTCTAACGGGCAGGATTCTGTAGATTTCACTACTGGGGAATGGTGTGTGAAGGAAAAATCCAATCCGAATATTCTTCTTTCCCAGGAGACTAAGTTGCTCCTGAAGCAATTCGGGAAGAAGCATGAGATGATAATCATGCACCCAGACCAGGTCACCCTCTTGGGCTTCCTTAGCGATGGTCTTGGCGAATAGAAGATTTGCCTCACGGTAGGCATCCCAGGCACCCTCATCAAACACAATCTCACCAGGATGATAGTGCAACAGAGGCCAAAGGATCGAGTCTAGTGAGTCATATTAGCACGGTCCCGCTGCTAGGGCACCATCCAAGGTGGAGGTGGCTGTAAGCCTGACACTGGCGCCGGAATTTGAGGAAAAGCACTTACTGGAGAAGCCATTGTAGTGGCGATCCGCTAGTTTGTCATCCATGAACACCGGAGTTGCACCGAATTCGTCTTTGAGTCTCTGTTTCACAGAAGGGACTTCATCCTCCGGTACTTCCAATCCTGGCCATCCGTACCATTGGAAGGTTGTTGTCTTAGACAAACCACTCAATCCGGTCACTAGTCCACCGGAAGACATCGAAAATTCATACTTGCCATTCCCAGATCGTCTAATAGTGATGGGAAGGCGATTGGAAACGATCAGCAGGCGTGAGTCGCCTAGCGATGAGTCGGTGGAAGCCATGAGAGAGAGAGAGAGAGAGAGAGAGAGAGACAGAACTCGCGAGGGGTGTCTGACGTGGAAACAGAACAGAGGATTTGAGAGAAGAATCAATTAGAGTTTTGTAGATAGGGTTACGAAGATAGTATTATATTATGAGATGAGGTATCTGGGAGCGTGGATACCACCGGGGTGGGGAACAAGTGATGACCTGATCGATAGATATCAACACTCGGAAAAGGAATGACTCGTGATGCCAGGTTTGGTTCGAATTGTCTTGTTTGAGTCTTTTGTCTTCTGCAACCCAAAACAGGCTTAAGGTCCTTTCTTCACGGGATGCCGTGATCCAGCAAGTATCCACTTTCTTCTCTTCTTCCTTTATCCCCCTTCGAATTCCTGTTATCTCCCATGTTGGCCCTTTTCCTGCCCAATTCTGCCGCAATTCTCAGGTGGGATAACCAACTCCTTACGACCGACTGACTTCTTTCGTCAGGTTCCATGTGCTTCGGTTCTTGCAGGATATTTTCCCTGATTGATAGAAAACGCGGGTGGGTCTAGACTTGTCGAACTGTCGAGAATCATCGCCTAACGCTATCTTAGCGTAGTGGGTAAAACCGACCCGCGGATCAACCCGGGAATCAAGACGTCATGGGTACGATTGGACAGTGAACAACAGTCCAGGACAGCTTGAACGAACTATTCCCACGTTTCCAGGCAGGTTCTGTTCTCTTCTGATGCGGTTGGTCACGTTGTGAAACCAATAGCCTCAATTCCATGATTCCATCTCATGAGCCCCGCGCCCGAGTCACGCCCAAGGCAGAGAAGATACCCCTCCTTTGAGGCATCCATCACCTGCTCTTCGTGCTCTTGGTTTCGTCCCCTCGAAAAGCCCAGAATGTTCTTTTTTCTCTTTCACCTGCTCTCTCACAACCTCGCGATTTCCATGGTCCAATCCCAACGGTTGTCATTCCTTGGGTCATTCATTATGCTTCTCGGCTGTCTAACTTCCCGCCGGAATTTTCAGGATTGCTTTTCCATTGGTTTGCAAAACATATAGAATGTAGACTTGGTCCTTCAACCTTCAACATCCCTTGGCCCGGAAAACACAGATGTTCCAAGTCTCACTGCAGACCATTCGACAGCACATACCAAGCTTAATCTATTTATTATACTCTTCTTGAATAGTGGATACATACACAATTAGATTCTTCCTTCAAACACTGGTAGAGAGGTCCTCAACTCTCGGAACGTCTAATCAATGACGGTCTTTCTTGTCTCGCTGTAAGTCATCTTACACGCTCCCACTCTCTCAACCATCTGATGGAAATGGTATCTGATCGGTATCAATAGGTTCCTCCCCTATACGATTGACTTCCGCGCCACAGAATACAGGCATCGCCGGAAGTCATCTACGAGCTATTCTCATTCAGATGACCGGATCGTAGGACGGCTAGCTGAAGCGCGACGGAGACGTCACTCGAGGGGTTACAGCTTATCGCTTACCCCCGGCGCTACGACGGAAGATGAGAAGATCTTCAAACCTTACATCTCGCGTGCTGCAGGCGAGATTGCTTCCGCAGATGACCCCTACGGCCCGGGTCCCAGCGAACCTCGCGTTGTTTCCTGGGGTCAGAGTCGCAAATTCAACCAACCTCGTTCCAAGGCTACTGGTCCCCCTGAGCCGTCGATCCTGAGCCGTCCAAACCCAGGGGACGGGTATGACGAGCCATTATACGTTGATGGAGTCCTAGAGACACCAGATTCGGAAGAGGACCCTGGAAGTCCGCGCGCATTACTTTGTGGCCAGGACTGGGTTGTCAAATCAGCCGAACAGGGCAATGGCGGTATGCGAAATGCTGTCAATGCCGCTGAAAGAGCAGGCATTCTGTCGGACAAGATGTGGGTAGGCACTCTAGGTATGCCAACCGACTCATTGAAAGATGAAACACGCGCCAGAATCGGAGAGACGCTCGAGGATAACTACAACTCCCTCACAGTCTTTGTCGGCGATGAGGAGTTTGAAGGGCACTACTCGCACTTTTGTCGCGCAGTCCTTTGGCCAGCTTTCCATTATCAGATGCAGGAAAGCCCCCGGCACACCCAGTACGACGACTACTCCTGGAAGCAATACGTGAAAGTAAACGAGGCATTTGCGAACACCATCGCGTCGTGCTGGCGCCCTGGCGATAGTATCTGGATTCATGATTATCATCTTCTACTCCTGCCTGCGTTGCTCCGAGAGAAGCTACCAGGCGCAGAGATCGGCTTCTCCATGCATGCTGCGTTCCCCTCTTCCGAGATTTTCAGGTGTATCAATGCACGTGGTGCTCTGCTTAACGGTCTTCTGGGGGCTGATCTCGTGTCTTTCCAAACAGAGGAGTATTGCTACCACTTTCTTCAGTCATGTAGTCGACTCCTAAGTTTGGAGGTATCCGTCGATGGAGTCCAACTTCCACAGCGCTTCGTCCACGTGAAACGTTTGCCTATCGGGATCGATGTTCAAGCACTCGATGAGCTACGCCAGACAGCCGAGGTGAAGGATTGGATTGCAAATATAATCTCTAGGTATAATGGGAAACGTTTGATCGTCGCTCGAGATAGGCTTGATGCACCTGGTGGTATCAAGCAGAAGCTATTAGCTTATGAGCTATTTTTGAAAAAATACCCGAAGTGGAGAGATAATGTATGCTTGGACTGAGCCTTTCCATCTACCCTAGGCCTTGTATGCTAACAGACTCAGGTTGTCCTCGTTCAAGTCGCTTCGGCGTCGGAGCTGCCTGAATTGGAGGCGCAGGTCTCAAAGATTGCCATGAGGATAAATTCTAATTATTCGACATTAACACATCAACCTCTCGTACTCTTAAGACAAGATATCAGCTACTCGCAGTTTTTGGCTCTGATGAGCGTGGCTGACATCTTCATGGTGACAAGCCTGAGGGAGGGCATGAACCTTACAAGTCACGATTACCTCCATTGTCAAGATGGAAAAGTTGCTTCCCGGCGCCATGGCTCCCTCATCCTTAGTGAATTTACTGGGAGCGCTTCTATATTCAGTGGCCACGAACTACTTGTCAACCCATGGGACTACAGAGAAGTTGCAGATACAATCCACAAGGCGCTTGAGATGTCACCAAATCAGAAACAGCGTAATTGGGAATACCTGCTTGAAAAAAAGGCATCCTGTACTGCTATCGCGTGGTACAAGTCGTTTCAGACGGCTCTCCACAAGGCTCACAGCACGCAGTTATCTCGTGAGCTCAGTCAAGTCTCATCTCTTTCAGTACACAGTTTAGAAGAATCATACGAAAAGTCCAACTCACGGCTCTTTTTCCTCGAGGATGATGGAGTTCTCCAATCTGATGACTCAAAGTCTTCGTTTGAATTGGGCTCTCTCCTGGACCGCTTGCTCCTTGACTCGAAAAACAAAGTATACGTGACTAGTAACAAGAGTCCAGAACAGCTTGAATCTAGTCTTAAAGAAGTCTCCAGTCGGGTTGGACTGATCGCCGAGAATGGCTGCTTTGTACGTGACATTGGACAAACTCAGTGGCGGGCGTTGGTGGACATGGCGAAGGCCAAAGACTGGAGGAATGGAATTCGCAAAGTCATCCAGTACTACCAAGAACGGACCGAGGGAAGCCAGTTGGAAGAGCGCCGCTGCATACTAAGCTTTTTATATAACCACGCTCATGATCCTGAAATTGCTGCCCGACAGGCCTCCGATCTTGCTGATCAGATCAATGGCACACGTGGCAGCGAAGCCATCCGAATCGTTCTTACTGATGGTGCAGTGAGCGTCGAACCCTTGGACATTACAAAAGCCAAAGCTGCTGAATCCGTCATGGGCCAGTTCAGTCAAGTCCCTGACTTCCTGTTTGTAGCGGGCGGTTCCCGCGGCGATGAAGCACTATTCCGCTGGGCAAACCGCTTACAATCCGCCGGCACAGTCTCAAGCGTTACCACCCTTACCGTCGGCGTCCATGCTACCGAGGCCAAAGCCGTGCTCCCCAGTGATATGAGCGTGGCAACCGTTGTAGATGCCCTGTGTTCTCCAGTAACGCACGGTTGCCATGATTGTCAAAGCGAGGATGGGCGCCATGGGCTGAAAGGGGTCATAACCAACGGTGTCAGTGCAGCCCACTGAAAGATCCACGCTTCTTGGAAAGCATTCTCAAGTCCAAACTCAACCAACAATATCCTCATGACCTTTTCTTTCGGTTTCGCCTGGAACATGTGTAATTTCAAGCCTTCTCATTGTCTTTCATCATTTGTCAAAGTCTTTGTTTCTTAATATAAACGAAGTCGGAAGGGATATAATGGTAATGTATCTAGAGTAGACAGAAGAATGCTTTTCTCTTTTTTTTTTTTTTTTTTTTTTTCAAATCTTACTAGATTAAGCTGTACATCAACGTAAATATGATATGACATGGAATATCGGATATCAAAACAAAGTAGCCGTCATGAACAATATTCTGCTCCCAATAAATATCGCCTAACATACACAAGGTAATCATCGAGGTGTCTGCTCAGACAACAATCATAAAAGCCTATCATTCACCACCAACCGACGCGATATTCTTCTTGCACACGAAAGGGCAATCGGAGCATGAAGCCCAAGGCCCAAGCAAAAAAGGCAGCCGTAGAATAATAACACCAATAAATTCGACCTCACGCCCAAATACTGCAAGTTCATTCGACGGGAAGAGGGTTGAAAGACGGCAAAGAGGTATCCCGAGGAGTGCCGATTGGATAACAATAATAGAAGGAATAACAGAAGACAAAAGGGTGAAGCGCCAACAGTGGGCAGATGCATAACTATTAAACTCTACCAAGATCCCAGAACACGGTAGGTAAATCCCACAGGACGTAAACATGATGCGGAGTCTTGTGGGCGGAGGAAAAAAGGACACATTACTCATAACAACAATATCATAAGCACTCGAGTCATCCGCAGTCGACTCAGTAGGCAAGAGAACAGAGTTTTATACATCCGTCTGGGAAGGTTTTTATGAAGCTCGGTGGAACAAGGAACATTAGCCGCCACCGTCGGTATTCTGAGGACCATCTTTCGAAGATGAGGGGCCGTGGCCGGTAGAAACGAGAGTCGGTGCTACTCGTCTTTTCTTCGGCTGTTGTACCTGTGGCACAGAG